AATGTAAATGGAACAGAAGTAAGGTAATAGAACAATGAAATAAACAATGAAAAAGAACATAAGGGAGAACACGTTAATACGATACATGCTAATTATACCTATAATCAAGTGGACAATTCATTCTTTTGCCCTCTCACAGATTTTTCTGGGTCTTGGATCATGTTCCTCAGAAATAAATGATGGAAATCCTGATGATACTATCAAAATAGAGTGCTTCTTTCCTTCGTGTATTTAGCATATGGACTAGCAACATATATTAACATTTCACCTAGATTAGCAAAGCACAATAAAATATAAATGCTAAAAAAAAAATCTATGTTCAAATACCAACGTCTAGGCCATCTAACTATTGAAGCACAGTGTCATTTATATTTTTTAAAAAATCAGATACTGGACCAGAATATGCTCTCTATAGATTGACAAGGGACCTTTCCTTAGGTTAAATCTCTATCAAAGATGTTTCATGACATTTCAATCCTATTGATAGTCACTAAAGAGCATGTCAACAGACATTACTTTGGAGTAAACATACTTAAAATCGGTGATAGCCTGTCTGGACAGTTCTGTGCTGCACGCATGCATGCAGGAGCACACGTATACACACATAAACAAAGACAGAAAGAAACTTTACCCATTTCTATTGGACATGCTCAGAAAAAAAGAATACAGATGCATAATAACATTTTGCTCAGGGATACAGTAACTTTAATCTCAAAAGAAAGAATCGCAATATAGAAATTTCCCCTTTTGCTCTTTGTTAATCCCCTTTTTTTTTTTTTTTTTACTTTTCCAGATTTACTTGCGCAGCCCTTAAATGCTTCGAGAGTATGCTGTCTTCTGGTTTTATATCAGAACTTGACATCCCAGGAGAGAAAAGCTAGGATGGTTCTCTTGGCAGATGAAGGAACGAAAACAGGTCATACCACCATTTCATCCCAACTAAGCAAAGAAGGGTGACACACAGTCCTTCTTAAGAACTGGCAAAGAAATTTTCTGAAGCATTTTCTCCAAAGAAGTAGAAAGAGGGAGAGAAGACTTTGCTTCAGAAGATAGGACGGAAAGATTGAATAAGGACGGACTTTTGAAGCCCAGAGAAGACTGCAAAGAGTGCCTTACCTTCGTAAACTCACAAACACACTCTGGCACCAAATGCCAAATGGCTTTCTCCTGGCGTGGCCAGTGTCATTCGGGCGGCAGAGGCTGTTCTAGCACAAGAAGAGAAACTCAGATTATTTTTAGACAGGTGATGGAAGAATCAGATGCTGCCTCCTATCGGGTTTCTGGAGCAGAAAGATTCCTCTTCTTAAGTTTTTATTTTTGCCACTCTGAAAATCCAGAAAACAGGAAACTGGGAAGAGTTTGTCCGCACAATGATGTATTTAAATGATTGTTTTTTTAAAAAAAATATCTTGTTTCTTCACTGAAATATTCTTGGGGCAAAAAAGGGCATTTCAAGGGCTTTTCTTCGTTTCATAAACAAAATCTCTTTTTTGAGATTTTCAGCCAATCTTGATAAGGGGGAAAAAAATCAAAAACTGCTCATGTTAGGTTAAAGGCAGAAGATCACTGCAAATGTAGGGGAGCAGGAAGTTCTGTCGTTTCTCATTGGCTGATCCTTTTACTTTCTGTCCTAAAATTAAAGATCAAGCTATGCTTTGTTTTTTCCCTTTGATTTAATTATGTCTGATTCTCAAAGACTGCCTGGAGAAGTCTTTGCAGTTTACTTGCCAAGGTTTTTCTGAAGTGAATTTGCCATTGCCTCCTTCCTAGGGCTGAAGGAAAGTGACTGGCACAATTCCAGTATTTGAGGGGCTTATTCCAGTATTTGAGGTGTTGCCACAAAGACAAGGGGGGGGGGTCATGTTATTCTCCAAAGCACCAGAGGGCAAGACGAGAAACAATGGGAAACTGACCAAAGAGAGAAGCAACCTGGAATTAAAGAGAAACTTCCTGACAGTGAGGACAATCAACCAGTGGAATAGCTTGCCACCAGAAATCGTGGATGCTCCATCACTGGAGATTTTTAAGAAGAGACTAGACAGTCACTTGTCTGGGATGGTATAGGTTCTCCTGCTTGAGCGGGGGGCTGGACTAGAAGACCTCCAAGGCCCCTTCCAGCTCTATTCTATTAATAGTTAATTAAAGTCATCCAGGTGACTTTGGGCTCAAGGCAGGACTGGAACTCAGACTCTTCAGTTTTCCAGCTGATACCTTAGCCACTACACCAAATTAGCTCTCCATATAAATGTGGTAAAACTCCATTATGGTCAAGGGAATCCAATAATTCCAACTTCACTTCATTTCTCCTTTTTTGAATTACAGGCAGTTCTCGGCTTACAACAGTTCGTTTAGTGACCCGTTCAGAGTTACAATGGCACTGAAAATAAAGGACTTATGATGGCTGTTTTTCACTTGGCTCTTGCAACATCTCCAGAGTCTTTGTGATCAAAATTCAGACGCTTGGCAACTAACTCATATTTATGACGGTTGCAGTGTCCCGGGGTCATGTGATCCCCTTTTGCGACCTTCTGTCAACGGGCATGCCAGATTCACTTAGCAACCGTCTTACTAACCTAACAACTGCAGTGATTCACTTAACAACTATAGCAAGAAAGGTCGTAAAATGAGGCAAAATTCACTTAGCAACAGAAATGTCCAGCTCAGTTGTGGTCGTAAGTTGAAGACTACCTGTATACAAGTGTCCACAGAGACGGTCAAAAAAGTCAAGATGTGTCAAGCCATGCAAAAGTTGAAAAAAAAACATTAAGAAAAAGGTGCCGGAACGCCGTTCTCAGCGTTCTATGAGGAAAAAAAAGCCCTGCAGATTAGTCTTCAAATATCGAAAAGGAGGACATGTAGGAGGACACTTTTCGAGGGAGGACAGAACTTACAAAAGGAGGACTGTCCTCCCTAAAGGAGGACAGTTGGTCACCTTACAAACAAGGAAGGCCTCAAACACTCCAATGTGCCAGATCATATCCACAGCAAACCTTGTGAACAAGAAGGAATGCAATGCTTTAAAACCAGAAGAGCTTATTTTTAATTCTTATTTCCATTTCTCAGAATATGTGTGAGGCCTGCAGTTTTCTTCTGTGTGGAAAGACTGCCCTCTCCTGGAATTAAAAAAGACCTGCAGGAGCAATAGTAGGAGGGCTCGTCTTCATATGTATTTAGCTGCAAACTGTTACTGCTCCCATTTCTACCATCGCTGGAGCAACTGTTCGAGAATAATATGCAGTAACACCATTTATTAGATTATGGAAGTGGTTATGTTCACATTGTTGAAGGAAAAGTCTTCATCGTGGTTCAGTCCAAGCCGGGGATAAACAACATGGCGACTGCTTTAAAAAGAAGATTGCAGTTTATTGAAGAGGAGAGCCAGATAGAAAGATGGCTCTGGCAGAAAAGAAAGAAAAAAACGGCTGAGCACATGTAGGGAGTGTGTTTTTATACCTTCTGGAGCCTTTTGTTTGGAGTTGTTCCTGTGGCATGAACTTTGACCTGAGTCTGAGTGTGCCTTTCTGGTATTCTGATGGTGGTGGGTTAATCTTATTATGTCCCAAGGGTCATATCCTGCTTCCCTTTGGCTGTGGCTGATGACTTAGATTTTTGGTGTGTTGATTCTAGGGATCTTTCTTCCTAATCCCAGTTTCCTGATTCCAGTCTTTCTGACAAGATTATCACCTGCATTTCTACAGACTTGGTTTCTATTTGGGACAAAGAGACTTGGGGGCAGAGCTGTTTCTGCTTTTAAAATCCCTTAGGGAAATATATTCTGCCTTTTAAATATTTCCAAAAAATATTTTTTTCTCTGGGGTGGGGCTGTCTTCCCACAACATCATGTTTGGAATATAAACTTGCCATCCACAAGTTAGCCTAGTGTATTGTGTGAACCTAGCAAAACTGATTACACTGATCTACAAGTTTTGGGAAATGATTGACCTCCGAGATAAAATGTGCTAATTCTTACATATTTTGATCAGATGAATTAGAAAACAGGTGATAAAGGTGCTGGTTGGCTAAAGTTTTCAAGACATTTCACAATAAAGATTTAAACACAGGCGAGTATATTTGCCTACAAGGGAGAGAGGTGTCTAATGATCATGATGCCTCGTAACCTCTTGACAAACTACGGTAGAACAATGAAAATGGTAACACAGAGAAGTGTATACATTTATTTTGAAACTACAGATTATTACCTAACTGTAATTTATTATTCTTTTATTGCAAGGTACGTTTATCTTGGTCAGATCTATGCATCATACAGTTACATCTGGTGGCTTGTGAAAGTGTTATTGTCTAACATTTCCAAGGAAAGGTTGTGTGATATTTTCTCTCAGAAGCCAAGATGCCACAAAATTCTGTACATAATGCAGATAGCAAGCAACTAAATTTCATTTTTAATGTGTGCCATTGTGCCCACAGGAAAAAAATGACAATAAAGGTAATCTAATCTAATCTAATCTAGTCTAATCCAGTGTTTCTCAACCTTGACAATTTTAAGGCATGTGGACTTCAACTCCCAGAATTCCATAGCCAGCATTGCTGGCTGTGGAATTCTGGGAGTTGAAGTCCACATGCCTTAAAATTGTCAAGGTTGAGAAACACTGGTCCAATCTAATCTCTACTGGTTGAAGGAACTTCGGGGACTCTTTATCATCCAAGCCCATTCGACCAGGTGCTTTCCAGATAAATTGGACTCCAACAGACATCACACTTAACCGGCACATGGGATTTGTAGTCCATCCCATCTCGAGAGGAACGGCTTTAGCTTCACGCCCAGCAGAGCCCACTTTAGATTCATCCATCCATTGAACTACGTTTCCCGACATCCCACTGGAACGGCCTTTGCCTTCTCATCGCCCAGTGAAACTACATTTCCCGGCAAGCGCAGAAACAACGTCTACTACGGCCCCTGAGGTTCATCTCTGCGCCTAAAACTCCACCTCCCAGCATTCTCATGGGCGGGCGTGCCAGGGCGGCTGCGCGAGGGGCGGGGCTTAAACGTGGCAGGGCGGTTTTGTTCATTCTGTCAGAAAACCATGGCTGCGACGGCTGGGGATTCTCCTTCGCTCGCTGTCTCCTCTTCCCGGCCGTCGGGTGATGCCGACTTGGGGTCCCCTCACATAGCGGCGCTGATCCTGGCTCGAGGCGGCAGCAAAGGAATCCCTCTGAAGAACATTAAGCTCCTGGCTGGCGTTCCGCTGATTGGTTGGGTACTGAGGGCAGCGCTCGACTCCGGCGCCTTTCAGAGGTCTGCGCATGCGCGAGTGGCAACGGGTTTTTTTTTTTTTTTCCCCCTTTCTCTCTCTCTTCCCCCCTCCCTTTTTAATGAAACTATAGTTCTTTTGTCTCCAACAGAAACTTCCGGGTTTTATTTGATTCTCCATTAGAGGCTTCACACAAGCCATAGTAAAAGTAATACAGCGCTTTATAATTATTAGAAAGCACGCTCTCTCAGAATCAAAAGGTGGAAATCCATGGGATTTCAAATCCAGGATGGGTTTTTTCATAGACAGTTTCTTGCAAAAGTTTCCAGCGGATTCCAGTAGACGTGGGTACTATAGAGATATAGTAATATTAATTTCCTAGCAGGTTTCAAGTAGACTGGGATGAAGGTTTGTGGGGTTTTATTATGTTGTGGATTTTTAAATATATGCTGTGTGTGAGTTGGGCAGCCCTGTATGTCAGCAAAGCTGAGAAAAATAGGTGTGACCTATTAAAAGATTTTTTTAAAAAAAAAATGGCAATCCAAACGTTGAATGAAATGTCTATAAATGGCGTGGCTTGACACCTTTTATATGCTTAACAGATAGTCTTTGACTTACAATCGCCAGTGAACCCAACATTTCTGTTGTTAAAGTAAGCTGAGTGATTTTGCTCCATTTTATGACTTTTTGCCACAATTGTTAAGTGAGTCTGGATTTCCCATTGATTTTGCTTGTTGGAAGTCAACTGGGAAGGTTACTAATGGTGACCACGACCCCAGGGCAATGTAACCATCATAAATACATGCCAGTTACCAAGTTATCCAAATTTTGATCATCTGACCATTGGATATGCTGCAAATGATCATAAGTGTGAAAAATGATCACAAGTTACTTTTTTCAGTGTCGTTGTAACTTCAAACAGCCACTAAATGAATGGTTATAAGTCAAGGATTACCAGTATTATTTAATTAAATGTACAGTATGAGCCGTCCCAAATCAGTTCTTATTAAATTTACTGGTTTAAACAAATACTTGCAAGGTTGCACCTTATGCGACTTAGCTTAAACAGGATATTCTGTTTATTATAACAGCTGTGGTGGCGCAGTGGTTAGAATGCAGAATTGCAGGCTGACTTTGCCCACAGCCTGGATTTTGATCCTGACCTGCTCAAGGTTGACTCAGCCTTCCATCCTTCTGAGACCTGTAAAATGAGGACTCAAATGGTTAGGGGCAATATACTCACTCTGTAAACCACTTAGATAGAGAGGGCTGTCAAACATTATGAAGCAGTATGTAAGTCTAAGTGCTATTGCTCTTGTTATTTCAGAGGGCGCGTTTTGACAGGGAATTGAAACGAAACCATATGTTTTCAGATTCTTTCTTTAAAATAGATAGAAGAATCTTCCTATTCTGGTTCCTTGAAGAGGACTTGAGGGCAAAACAGAAAATTAAGTTTTTGCTGAGGTTGTACAGTACTTGGTGTAAAAGGGTAAAAGGTATTTCAAAGCATATGTGGGCAGAAAGAAAGGACCAGTCTGCCCACCTTAAATTGTTGTTGTTAGTTGTGAAGTCATGTCCGACCCATCGCGATCCCAGGACAATGTTCCTCCAGGCCTTCCTGTCCTCTACCATCTTGTGGAGTCCATTTAAGCTCACGCCTACTGCTTCAGTGACTCCATCCAGCCACCTCATTCTCTGTCGTCCCCTTCTTCTATGGCCCTCCATCTTTCCCAGCGTTAGGCTCTTCTCCAGTGAGTCCTTCCTTCTCATTAGGTGGCCAAAGTATTTGAGTTTCAACTTCAGGATCTGGCCTTCTAAAGGGCAGTCAGGGTTGATCCTCCAGGACTGACCGGTTTGATCACCTTGCAGTCCAAGGGACTCGCAGGAGTCTTCTCCAGCACCATAGTTCAAAGGCCTCAATTCTTTGGCGCTCAGCCTTTCTTATGGTCAAACTTTCAAAGCCATACATTGCAACTGGGAAAACCACAGCCTTGACTATACGCACTTTTGTTGGCAGGGTGATGTCTCTGCTTTTTAGTATGCTGTCTAAATTTGCCATAGCTTTCCTCCCCAGGAGCAAGCGTCTTTTAATTTCTTGGCTGCAGTCCCCATCTGAGGTGATCTTGGAGCCCAGGAAGATAAAATCTATCACTACCTCCATTTCTTCCCCATCTATTTGCCAGGAATTGAGAGGGCCGGATGCCGTGATCTTGGTTTTCCTAATGTTGAGTTTCCACCTTAAATTAAACATGCCTTTTTATGGAATCCACTGCAGTAACTGTACACTTTGGGGGGGGGGGAATGCAGCAGCCTTACAGCATTGCAAAGAGTGCTAGATGTACACCTCATATCCTCTCATGACCTTTTTTGCCTCCAAATCTGAAGCACTGCGCAATCTTTCTGTCTGTAAAAACACGATGTGCCCATTTTACAGATTTGAAAATTAAGGCCAAACCCTAGTGATTTTCCTGAAAGCCGTCGGTCGAAGAGAACGGTCACTATTCTCTTTTCCAAAAGATTTAGTGGGGAGATAGGAGATAAAGAATTGACTCCTATCTTAAGGCTTGTCGTGCTGTGTCACAACCTTCCCTCACGGGCAATAACGTTGCTGCTCCCTTTGTCTCCCTACAGTGTGTGGGTTTCCACAGATCATGATGAAATTGAGAAAATTGCCAAACAGTTTGGAGCTCAGGTCCATCGGAGGAGTTCTGAAGTGTCCAAAGATTCCTCTACCTCTTTGGATACCATTGTGGAGTTTCTCCAATATCACGAGGGTATGTTGACGCTCACAAATTATGAGTTGTTGGTGTTTTTTAAAAAAGTATTGCTTTGGGAGATCTTTCAGCTTTCATTCTCTGGATTTGAATACAGGTATGTCTAATTTAATGAAAAGAAGGACACAAGGGGTGACATGATAGCAGTCTTCCAATATCTCAGGGGCTGCCCCAAAGAAGAGGGAGTCAAGCTATTCTCCAAAGCGCCTGAAGGCAGGACAAGAAGCAACGGGTGGAAACTAATCAAGGAGAGAAGCAACCTAGAACTAAGGAGAAATTTTCTGACAGTTAGAACAATTAACCAGTGGAACAACCTGCCTCAGGAAGCTGTGAAACCTCCAACGCTGGAGGTTTTTAAAGAGATCAGACAGCCACTTGTCTGACATCGTATAGAGCAGGAATGTCCAACACGCTGCCCACCAGCCGGATGCAGCCTGCGCAGGCCATGCCCACCCCGGCTCCACTAGGACAAAAACCATACTGATACATCACGATACGGCCCACAATGCGATTGGGCTTGACACCCCTGGTACAGAGTCTCCTGCTTGAGCAGGGGGTTGGACTAGAAGACCTCCAAGGTCCCTTCCAATTCTATAATTCTGTTAGTCTTGAACTTATGACCACAGTTGAGCCCAAAATTTCCGTTGCTACCCAAGGCAGTTGTTAAGTGAGTTTTACCCCATTTTATATTTTTTTTTACACATTTGTTAAATGAATCACAGCAGTTGTTAAGCGAATCACGCAGTGGTTAAGCGCGTCTGACTTCCCCGACTTATTTTGTTTGGGAAAGGTTACAAATGGTGATCACATGACTTCAGGACAGTGCAACCATCATAAATATCTGCCAGTTGCCAAGTGCCCAAATTTTGATTACGTGATCATGGGGATTCTGCAAGTGTGAAAAGTAATCATAAGTCACTTTTTTTTTCCAGTGTTGTTATATTTTTGAACGGTCATCCGGTTGTAAATCAAGGGTTACCTGAAAATCTCTTTTTATCTGCATGCTTATATATTAACTGAACGTAATTTTAATCTGTAATGAAATTCTTTGTCTCTGCTGCTTCCGAGCTCCCCTTAGTGACAGAGATAGATCGGAGTACTAATCAATGTTTAAATCAGTGGTTCTCAACCTTTTTAATGCCGCGACCCCCAACCGGTCGTAAGTCGAGGACTACTCAACCGGTCGTAAGTCGAGGACTACTCAACTGGTGCAGCACCGTTTGCAGAATGGGACTTTTGGCGGGCTCAGCAGGGCAGAGACAGCCTGGACAATTCCTATTGGCTTTTGAAAGCCAATAGAATTAGACTCTATTCAAGAGAGTCTATTCTATTGGCTTTCAAAAGCCAATAGAATAAAAGGGAGTAGCACAGCTAAGGAAAAGGGGGGGGGGAAATGGCGGACTGCGTTGTTTGGCGACCCCCGTGAAATGGTCGTTCGACCCCAAATGGGGTTCCGACCCACAGGTTGAGAACCACTGGTTTAAATATTGCATTTTGGGGAGCCAGTTGTATTATGAAACATCTCATATTTCAGCAAAATATACGGAGGCAAAGAAATCATTGTAAAAGCCACCTGCTTCATACAGACTTTTTATTTAACTGAATTAGCCCCCAAATTAATAGTCTACAAATCGGATACTAACTATTTATCTAAATAGAATTCTATTTGCTTTGACCATGCCACTGAATAAATGTAAGGATTCTAAACAGTGCAAATTGTAATAATATTCTGCTTGGATTTTCCCCTAAATATATGCCATATATCTTCTTTTAACGATATAGTTTGAACCAAATGGCAAACTAGAAAAAGAGATTCCCAACCTTTTGGGCATCAGAGACCAGTTCCGTGGAGAGAGGTTTTTCCGTGGACCGGAGGGTGCATGGTTTTGTGTGGTGCCTGCATCCCATAGATGGGGCTTTGCTTGTTTCTGCGGACTGGTTGCTGGCATGCCGTAGCCCAGTACCGATCCACCGGGGCTTGGGGACCCCTGACCTAGAAGATTCTTATCTCCTCCATATTTATCTTTCATTTCTCCAGAGGTTGATGTTGTAGGAAACATCCAAGCAACTTCCCCATGCCTGCACCCCAACGACCTCACCAAAGTGGTCAAAATGATCCGGGAGGACGGCTTTGATTCGGTGTTTTCAGTTGTCCGGCGGCACCAGTTCAGATGGAGTGAAATTAAAAAAGGAGGTAAAGCTTGGGCATCTTTCAGACCGGATATTATTGCTAATAAAAGCTTCAGATAGGTACCTATTCACATCAACCATCTACCACCCTTAAACAAGTTGCCTTCTTTGGCTAAGAAACGGAGATGATCAGCACCCCCTAGGATTGGACATAACTGGACAGGAGAAACCTTGACCTTGACCTTCAAACCTTCTCAGCTGGTTGCAACATCCCAAGACTGGGCAAGGGTCTTTCCCTGATGCCTAAAATTCTCTTCTGTGGAGAGGCCAAAGATTGGTGTGCGGACTTTTTTACCAGCAAGGTAATGTGTCTCTGCTGGGAAGGTATGTTGCTTCCCTTTGAAAAATCAGGGTGGTTCTGATGAGTTGATTGATGGCTCCAAGAAGCCATTTTTGAGGGATTTGGCTGAAGCGCAGCTGCGGCAGGACAGTCCTGAGGCTCCAGGTGGGGAAAGCATGCAGCTGCAGCCAGTTGGTGATGAGGAAGAGGAACTGCCTTTTGCATCTGATCCAAGAACATGTAGGGCAGAGAAAAAGGCAGGAGCAGAGAAGGCCAGCCAGATTACTCGTGAGGAGAAAGCCAAGCCTTTCTTGATAGGCTGCACCAGAAACTGACTCTTTAGCACCGCAGGCAGATGGAAGTGATGCTAGGAGCAACATCTTTGTTTCCTAGCTGTGTGTTTTCTGGTTGTGATTCTTGCCTTGCTTTGGATTGACACTGTGCCTTGATTCGGATAGGGCCTTGTGAACTCTGCATTTTTCTTGCCTCGTGAACCCTCTTGGAGGGTGGATTTAAGTTTGATTTTAATTGAGAAACTTCCAAGTGCCTTGTGGACACTTTGGCCATTGCTCTGTGGACTAGCCATGGTCTGCTTGTGGCTGGACTTAATTGGGACAGTTCTGGGTTTCTGGTGAAGAGAATTGTTGGAGAATACAGGTAATCCCCGAGTTACGAGGCAAACAAACGCAGTCCACAGAAACTCGATCCTCAACACAAATGGTTGCTTCCAGCAACCAGCACCTCCCACACCTTCCCTTTTATAATTCAGCCAAGGCATGGCTTCCTAATGCCTTCTCCTTTGCCTTTGGAGCCGCCCCATTGCATTCCTCTGTCCTACTCTTTTTTTCTTGCCTGCGCATTCGTGCATCCGGGATTTGTCCCAGCTGTTCTTCATCACTGTCCAACTCAGGCTCCCAGCACAGCTATGTCTCAGCCTGAGCGCGAGTAGAGGGGCCAGGCTCCTCGTCCGACTGTAAGTCTTGGAGGTCCTCAGAGCCTTCCTCTGAGTCTGATGTCACTCCAGGCCCCTCCTCCCCCTCCACTGATTCCCCAGACTCAGCTGCCGGATCCACTGGCTGGTGAGGAATCACAACATGTTCCATCACTAGGCCCTCCATGGCCTTCCTCACCCTGAGATACCTCATGTTCACTTAACGAGCCGCGTGCGTTTTAACGAGCAAGGGAATGATCGCACTAAAGGAACGAGATTCACTCTACGAGTTTTCGAGTTACGAGTGGAATGGGCAGGCTCCATTCCACGCGTAAGTCGAGGACTACCTATATTAATAAACTCACCAAACCACAGTTTAGTGTGTGAGTGAGTGAGTGAGTGAGACAGCACAGTGATATTTGGAATTCCCATGATACGGAATCCAACTCTTCCCCCCTCCCTCTTGTTTTAACAGTCAGTGAAGTAACTATCCCGCAAAATCTGAATCCTGCCAAGCGTCCCCGACGGCAGGACTGGGATGGTGAACTCTATGAAAATGGATCGTTTTACTTTGCCAAAAGGGCCTTAATTGAAAAGGGATATTTGCAGGTGGGTGCGCCAATTCTGTTTGTCCTTCCTTTTGGCACGGCACTTCTTCTGAGTTGGATTTCTGAAGAAGTTACTCAGTCCTTTCGAGGCTCTCCTTTCATAATTCCAGTTTAGGGACCGGCTGAATTTTTTCCTCATTTTTTTCTTAAAATCCTCCTGTAAGGGCTGGTTTGACTGTCAAAGGCCAATTGCTGATAGAGTGATTTTTAAAACAAGAAACAGAAGAGGACTTTCAATCCCACTTCCCTGGAATCACTGGCCAGGTTATCTTCCTGTTTCACATTCCTAGTTGTAGCATGATACAACTAGGCCATCTAAAATATTGATAAATCCACCCCAGCTGAAAGGCTATAGTAGACGGGACTTATATTTTGTTTTTCCAAAAAAAAAAAGACTTTCCTGTTTACTATTTTTGATGCAGAAACACAATTGGTATGAATTAAGCTAGGTTTTTATTATTCCATCCAGAGTGTTAAGGAGGTGGATTGAGGAGAAAGATAAATTATTGTTTCTTAAGTAGAACCAAAATATCAGAGGGAAAGGAAAGGGAAGGGAAGGGAAGGGAAGGGAAGGGAAGGGAGAAAGAAAAAGAGGGGAGAGGAGAGGGAAAGGAGAGGAGAGGAAGAAAGAAAAGGAGAGGGAAGGGAAAGGAAGGGAGGGGAGAGGAGAGGAAGAAAGAAAAGGAGAGAGGAGAAGAGAGAGAAGGGAAGAAAAAGGAAAGGATTTTGGGCGGTTTTGGGGCATTCGGTCTCTAAAAGGTTCGCCATCACTGATCTATAATGTTAATCTTTCACAGTTTCGGTGTATTTAAGATAGTCACAGGGCTTTCATTCCATAACGTCCCTGACTTCTAAAAGGAAAGGGGGAAAAAAAAGAGTTGCCTCCAAATTGGGCTGGTATGCAATTTCTGGCTCTTCTCTGCAGACCTATGCCTGTACATGGACCCCTCTGGAAACCCTGCCCAGCATTCAGGATGCGCCCTCTGGTGTGGGCACGATCGACTGACCCGTGGTTTCCATTTTGTTTAGGGTGGGAAAATGGCCTACTACGAAATGCGAGCTGAGCACAGTGTGGACATCGATGTCGACATAGACTGGCCCATTGCAGAGCAGCGGGTCCTAAGGTAAACTCAGAAGCTAATTTCCTCGTGTGTCTCCGCCTTTGAGAAATCTTATAATGCTGGGTTGCACCATCAGCAGGACAGCGAGGTGCCCTTGTGGAGTCCCTGGTGCTCTATGTGGTTGCTGGTTTCCTTGCAGACGTTTCATGACCCAGCTAGGCATCAGTGTTTGAAGGGAGTGCAGTTAAACTACTTTGTAGAACTGATGCCGTTACCTAGTTGGGTCATGAAACGTCTGCAAGGAAACCGCCAAGCTCAGAGAGCATCACGGACCCCACAGTTGTCGTCCTCCTTCTTCTCCTTCCCCATTCCCTTCTAGCACTGATGATGTTACCTAGTTGGGTAATGAAACATCTGCAAGAAAACCGCCAAGCTCAGAGAGCATCACGGACCCCATAGTCGCTGTCCTCCTCCTCCCCCATTCCCTCTAGCACTGATGATGTAACCTAGTTGGGTAGTGAAACGTCTGCAAGAAAACCACCAAGCTCAGAGAGCATCACGGACCCCACAGTTGTCGTCCTCCTCCCCCATTCCCTTCTAGCACTGATGATGTTACCTAGTTGGGTAATAAAACGTCTGCAAGAAAGCCGCCAAACTCAGAGAGCATCACAGACCCCATAGTTGTCGTTCTCCTTCTCCTTCCCCATTCCCTCCTAGCACTGATGATGTTACCTAGTTGGGTAATGAAACGTCTGCAAGAAAACCGCCAAGCTCAGAGAGCATCAAGGACCCCATAGTCGCTGTCCTCCTCCTCTTCCCCCATTCCCTTCTAGCACTGATAATGTTACCCAGTTGGGTAATGAAACGTCTGCAAGAAAACCGCCAAGCTCGGAGAGCACCAAGGACCCCTCATTTCAATCCTGAGCTACAATGTTCTTTTCTCTAGATACCCTTGTTCCAGAACAAATTCATATAAGTTGAAGAGAGGGATGTGTCCCCCAAATAAATATGAGTCTTTATTTTGCAAGGTTTTTGCTCTTCCAAGGGTTCATGGCAATCTACATATTTGTCCTCCAGAATTATCTTCACATAAGAACCTCACGAAATGTGTTGGGCAGATAGAAGGACTGATCCAAAGACATCCCAGTAAGATTTTATGATTGAGGGCAGACTAGAACTTGAGTCTTTCTGATCTTAGCAACATATGTGAACCTGTTCTATCCCAGTCTATTGCCGTCCTTGTTAAAGGCACAAGGACCAAACCCTGTTGATACAGTAGGCTGGAGACTTTAAAACAAAACAAACCCCTTTTAATATGGGTGACAAATCTGTCAAATAGTCCAAAACACAAACAGCAAAACTCAAGTCCAAAGGAAGGAAATAGTCCACAGGAAACAGGATGCAAACAGAAGAGTAGTCACAAGCAAGATGAACAGACCAGGATCCAAAGAAGCACTTTGCAAACGGTTGCCTTCAGCAACCAGCACTGCCCACACCTCCTCTTTTTATACAGCAGTCCCAAGGCGTTGCCTCTCATTGCCTTCTCCTTTTACTCTGGAGTTGCCATATTGACTGCTGCTGATTTACTCTCGCTAATTGACGTGTGCGAGCATCAATTAGTAAGTCCACCAGGTGTGAGTCCTCCGAGTCTGACTCATTCTCCTCACACAGCTGAGCTTCATCAGGAACACGACTGGAGGGCCCAGGCTCTGCATCAAACCGTGAGTCCTGTAATTCATCAGAGCCTCTCTCTGCCCCTGATGGCCCTTCAAATGCCTCCTCCACCTCCTCAGATTCCTCAGACTCAGCTGTTGGGAGCACAGGCTGGCACAGAATCATAACAGAACCGTCTGCACCCACATGCAAAATAACTAGTAGGCTGCAGAAATTTCCTGACAATTAGAACAATCAATCCGTGGAACGGCTCCCTCCTGAGATTGTGGGTGCTCAACACTGGAGGTTTTTAAGAAGAGATCGAACAGCCATTTGTCTGGAATGGTGTAGGAAGGGGGTAGAGCAAAGGGTTGGACTAGAAGACCTCCAAGGTCCCTTCCAACTCTTGTTATTTCTTCAGTGAGAATTATGCATTTTTCTCTCTCTTGGTCTTCCAGCCTTCTTGCCCATAGAAAGCAACGTAGGTAAAACAAGAGTTCCTTCCCTCTTTTCCATGATTGTCCCATCTATATTCCAGATATGGCTACTTTGGGAAAGAGACCTTAAAAGAAGTGAAGCTTCTGGTCTGTACCATTGACGGATGCCTCACCACCGGTCACCTCTACCTCTCTGAAGATGGAACAGAGATGGTTTCATATGACGTCAGAGATGCTGTTGGAATAAATCAGCTTCAGAAAAGAGGAGTCGAGGTACATCTTAACTCATTGACTTTGGACAGGGGTAGGCCACCTTGGCTCTTTTATGACTCGTGGACTTCAACTCCCAGAATTCCTGAGCCAGCCGTGCTGAGGGGAAAGGGAGAGGTTTCCAAGCTGAGCCATGCTGGCCCAGGAATTCTGGGAGTTGAAGTCCACAAGTCATAAAGCGGCCTAGGCCAGAGATAGGCAACCTTGGCTCTTTTATGACTCGTGGACTTCAACTCCCAGAATTCCTGAGCCAGCCGTGCTGAGGTGAAAGGGAGAGGTTTCCAAGCTGAGCCATGCTGGCCCAGGAATTCTGGGAGTTGAAGTCCACGAGTCATAAAGCGACCTAGGCCTAGGCCAGAGATAGGCAATCTTGGCTCTTTTATGACTTGTGGACTTCAACTCCCAGAATTCCTGAGCCAGCATGGGGGAACTATGGCCCCCTCATGACTTGTGGACTTCAACTCCCAAAATTCCTGAGCCTCTCCCTTTCCCCTCAGCATGTCTGGCTCAGGGATTCTGGGAGTTGAAGTCCACAAGTCATAAAAGAGCCAAGGTTGCTATCCCTGACCTTGGAGATAGATCTTCAGCGTAGGGAAGCCACAACATTTCTTTGCCTTTTATTGGAAAGACGGCTGGCCTTTAGTTTTCACGGTGGAGGCCAAAATGTCAAGGCATGTAGCCATTGCATGAGAATATGGAGACATCACAAAGACAGAGAGAGGAAAGGAGTTAGCAATATTTATTATTTTATTTTATTATTTTATTTTTTATTTTATTTCAATTCAGTTCAATTTATTTGTTTGATTTCAAACGATTCTGGGCAGCTCACAATTCAAAAACATACATTACAATTAAAATCTTGAAAACCCTTTAAAACAAAAGAATGAAAAACCCTTAAAACACACAAAACTTATATAAAATGTTTTCCAGATGGCATATGACAACCAGTGAGGTTAGCAAACATGTTTAAAAATATTTCAAGTAAGTGTTGGAAATGCAAACAAAGACCAGGTACTTATTACCCTATCTGGTGGACATGCCCTAAAGTAAAAAGATTTTGGTTGAAAATACATTTATGGTTGGAGAAAATGACTAAAAAAACAAATAGACTTTAAGCCAGAATTATTTTTGTTAGGAATAACAGGAGCAAATTATGACAAAGACTGTATATATTTAATTCTACATGTACTAACTGCAGCAAGAATTGTATTTGCCCAACATTGGAAAAATAAAAATTTACCAACTGAAGAAGAATTAATTAAGAAAATCTTAGACTGTGCAGAAATGGATAGATTGACTTTAAAGATAATAAAGAAGTCTAAAGAACATGGAATAATTTTTATCAATGGCTAGAAAAATGAGTTAGAGAGAAAGGAATGTGATATGTAACTTTGAATATATATTAGCAAGAAGAAGATTGTTGAGCGATTGATTAACATATTGTTTATTAACTATTACCGTTGTTTTTTTTAAAACACGTGAACCCAGACATTATGCTGTTTGCTAAACATTGAGATTGCTATTTGGAAAAACTCTAACCCCAACCCTTATCCTAACCCAAATCCCAACCCCGACCCCTCCTTGTTCTTAATATATATATATCTCTCACCGGAAAACACTTAATGTCTCCTCCCTGGTACAGCTGACAAAAGCAAGGAGAACCTGTGGCCTAGAGGTTAATACAGCTGCCTAACATGTAAGTGGCCCGGGTTCGAATCTCAGAAGGGTATGGCTAGCTGATGAGAGCTAAAGAGCTCGAAATAGTTATACTAGTCTCCCTTTAATTCTTTGTCAGCAAAATCTAAATTTAATATATTAAAAAACCATGAAAACATGCAATTTGAGTATGTACAAAGCAAGGCATCTGGCCTGTTAACAATAAAGTCAGGAGGCAGGGCCCTCGGTTCATGTAGCACCCCAGACTCAGGAGCATAGCCAGGTCTTTAAAGCTTTACGGAAGGCTAATGGGATTAGGGCTGGGGTATATTGTCCTAGCTAGATGCATTCCCCACCTGCTCCAGCAGAAAGAAAACAGGTTATATGATTTAAATACATTCTTGCAGTGTCAAAGGGGCTAACACACATGAGGTTTTGCTTGACACTGATGACGTTACCTAGTCGGGTGATGAAACGTCTGCAAGAAAACGTTCAAGCTCAGAGAGCACCAGGGACCCCTCGTTTCAACCCCGAACTCCGAATATTCTCTTCTGTCAGCACTAACGCCTTTCGTTTGACTAGGTGCGGCTGATCTCCGAGCGGGTCTCTTCCGCCAAGGCGCTCTTCACCTCAAAGTTGGGCTGTACCCTGGAAGTCGGGGTGATAGACAAGCTGGGTGTCGTGGAGAAATGGCGGAAGGCCATGGGGCTGTGCTGGAAGGAGGTTGCGTACTTAGGTGAGGCCCTTCCCAAATGCTGTTGCTGGTTTCATTGACTAAAGCTCTGCTCTGCTGGGAGTTTTTCTGAAAAGTTGACTTCCTCTGCAAACGAGGTTTCCGTTTTTCTACTTTATTCTTCAGGGGCTTTATTATTTCCCCAAGGGATGGCTTTTGAGCTCATCTCAATTGTTGGATGTAGAAAAGAGTAGTCCTCAATTTACAACTGTTTCTTAAGTGACCACTGAAAGTTACAACAGCCCGGAAAAAGGGACTTATATGATGTTTTATGACCATTGCAGCATCTACATGGGCAGGTGATCAAAATTCAGGCTTGGCTGCTGACTCCCCTTTATGACAGTGGCAGCGCCCCAGGATTATGTGGTGACTTTCTGGCAAAGTCAGATACGCTTAACAACAGTGTTACCAACTTAACAATTTAAGTGATTCGCTTTATAGTTGTGGCGAGAAAGGTCGTAACATGGGGCAAACTCACTTAGCAAGAGAAATTTTGGGCACAGTTGTGGGTTGTAAGCTGAGGACTACCTGTCATGATGGGAGGGGGTATGTGTGTGCTTTCTATTGTGTCTCTTTCCATCTCTTGGAAGCTTCTCTGACTACCTTCTGTTTCCAGTCTAAAAAACAAACTGTGAGGAAGGCCTGCTTGATGCCTTTTTTAAAATAATGATGGTGATGATGATGATGATGGAAGGAAGTCTGTGAAGGCAGAAAGGTCTCTGAATGTACAGAGAGTGCTTTGGAAAGTGGGTGGAAAAAGAAGTGGGTGGAATCAGAATTAACCTCGAATTTGATTTCTTGTAAATGCAAGTCCAAACCCCCTCCCCCAAAACCAGGGGTAGGCAACGTTGACTCTTTTATGACTCGTGGACTTCAACTCCCAGAATTCCTGAGCCAACATGAGGGAACTATGGCCCCCTCATGACTTGTGGACTTCAACTCCCAGAATTCCTGAGCCAGCATGGGGGAACTATGGCCCCCTCATGACTCGTGTACTTCAATTCCCAGAATTCCTGAGCCAGCATGGGGGAACTATGGCCCCCTTATGACTCATGGACTTCAACTCCCAGAATTCCTGAGCCAGCATGGCTCAGCTTGGAAACCTCTCCCTTTTCCCTCAGCATGGTTGGCTCAGGAATTCTGGGAGTTGAAGTCCACGAGTCATAAAAGAACCAAGTTTAAAGACCCCTCAGTTAGAGGAACATATGAAAGCATAATTAATGTTAATTAATGTAGACTTTATTAGTTTAGAGCAGGGGTAGGCAACCTTGGCTCTTTTATGACTCGTGGACTTCAACTCCCAGAATTCCTGAGCCAGCCATGCTGAGGGGAAAGGGAGAGATTTCCATGCTTAGCCATGCTGGCTCAGGAATTCTGGGAGTTGAAGTCCACCAGTTATAAAAGAGCCAAGGTTGCCTACCCCTGCCCAAAACCAACCAATAGGACACTTCCACATATATTGAATAAATAATCTTTTATATTCAAAACCAGCTTTTAGAACGAATGCATCCGAGGCTTTTAGAGGCCACGCCTTGGTTTGCAATCCTGCCTTTTATTTTTTTTAACTACCTCAGAAATGCCTCTAACAAATGTAACTATTTTTTTTTTTTTAAAGTGTGTGATCGCTTGCTGAAGATGCTTTTTTTTCCCCTGTCACTGCAGGAAATGAAGACTCGGATGTGGAGTGTCTGAAGAAAGCCAGCATGAGTGCCGTCCCTGCCGACGCTTGTCCGGCTGCCCAGAAAGCTGCAAGCTACATTTGTCGATGCAGTGGCGGCCGTGGCGCAGTTCGAGAGTTCGCCGAGCACATCCTCCTTTTAATGGAAAAGGTGAATTCGGCGGGAAAAAACATGGGGTGATCCAGCTAGGAAGTCGCCTCCCAAGCAGTGTCTCTGCTTTGTTGATTCCGCTGGGGTGACTGTTCCCTGCTTGGCTTTTGACATTTCCAGCATCCAAAGGACCCCGACAGGCAGCTTTAAACTATCCGCTTTATTATTTCACTGGTGACGAAATCGTTAATGAATTGGCGCAGACCCAAGGTGGCAGGAAAACCCAATAAATCCAAAGACACGCTATTGTCGGAGATGTTTCCTAGAAGGCTAAAAAGTTTACAGCCCTATTCCATTTTTTTTTTTTTTTTTTTTTGGTCTCTTTATTTGCCGGAGATGTTTCCTAGAAAGCTAAAAAGTTTACAGCCCTATTCCCTGTTTTTGTTTTTTGTTTTTTTTGTCTCTTTCTTTTATGTTTGTTTGCTTGCTTTTTTTTTTTGCAGCCTGATCATTTAGGCAAAAATAACTTTGGTAAAAATAGAAGCAATAGGGGAAAAAAAACACTTGGGGTTTTTTACTCTGGCTACAGTGCCGTGCCGTTATATAAGGAATTGATGACCGTGAATGGACATCAAACGGAACTTAATATTTTGCCAGAGGCTGACGTCTAAGTACTGATGACTCCTGACAGGTAGGAATATATATTCTTGATGTTATGTTCAAGAAGTGTTTCTCCACAACAAACTTGATTTTATGCTGTTACCCTAGATTGGATCTTCTGAGCCAGGGGTGTCAAACTCGCAACATCACGTGATGTGTCACAACTTTTTTTCCATTGCCGGCAATGGGGTGGGCGCGGTTTGGGTATGATGCATCCGGCCTGTGGGCCGGCAGTTTGACACCCCTGCTCTTAAGCCAGTGTTAGACTTCAACTCCCAGAATTCCCGGTCAGCCACGCTGACCGAGGAAGTCTGGGAGTTGAAGTCTATACTTCTTCAAGTGGCCGAGATTGAGAAACACTGCTTTAAGCTGAGTCACACAGGTTAAATCCAATCACCTGTTCAATTGGGGAGCATCGACGTTTTGGCGGTCTGAAGTGGCAAATCATAATTGGGGAGTGGGGAAAGGCATGAGTGCCAGAAGCAGGGCAGTGGTGCCAAGTGGTCAAAAGTCCTAGCGTTTCTTGAATTTAAAGAGGACAGATCCAAGCAGGAGAACGGGTGCTAAATCTTTAAAGGTTTATGAGCCACCGGTAATGGCAAAGACTTTCTGTTGCAGATTCCGTGGGGGAGCTGTTGATGGGATGTCCCAGTTCATCTGCTTGGCTGAATCGCTGAGCTCAGCCTTCAGCAAGGAGTTGCATATTCTTCCCCGAGGCCCTAAGCCAGGGGTAGGCAACCTTGGCTCTTTTATGACTTGTGGACTTCAACTCCTAGAATTCCTGAGCCAGCATAGGAGAACTATGGCCCCCTCATGACTCGTGGACTTCAATTCCCAGAATTCTTGAGCCAGCATGGCTCAGCTTGGAAACCTCTCCCTTTCCCCTCAGCTCAGGAATTCTGGGAGTTGAAGTCCACAAGTCATAAAAGAGCCAAGATCGCCTACCCATGCCCTAGGCCAGCAGCCCCCCAGCCTTTTGGGCACCAGGGACCGGTTCCATGTTGAAAGGTTTTTTGGTGGGCCGGAGGGGGGCGGGTTTTGTGTGCTGCCTGCATCCCACGGATGGGGCTTTGCTTGTTTGCGTGGCCTGGTTTTTAGCATGCCACGGACCGGTGCCAGTCCACGGACCGGGGGGTTGGGGACCCCTGCTCTAGACAGCGATCTGAGGTGGTTTGATTGATCTGATTTTGCTTCTGGTGCATTTCTGTTATCTTGAGAGCAGCCACTTGAGATGGTCAGTTGAGTCCAGGAGCATCTTTAGGAAATAAAAAAAAAGCACTTAATGAGAGACTGAAAGCAAGTACTTTTCTTTTACCCACTAGCTCAGAATCGTTGTGAGGGTCCAGTAAGATACCAGAGAACAATTGGACATATTTGCTTCAAACTTGTAGCACCAGAAGAGTTGCATTCTGAAGGAAAGAGATTGAAAGAGACAGCAGTGCGAAAGCGTCCTTGTCTTTGCGGTGTTCTGTGGAAAAAGAGTTTCGCAGTCCCGCTAGTCTTCGCTTAGTGACCGTTCAAAGTTACAACGGCACTGAAAAAAGGGACTTAGCGACGGTTTTCCACGCTTACAACCGTTGCAGCATCCCCACAGTCAATTCAAATGCTTGGCAATCGATTCAGGTTTACGGCGGTTGCAGTGTCCCGGGGTCAGGTAACCCCCTTTTCCGACCTTCTGGCAAGCAAAGATGGGTAAGCCAGATTCACTTAACGATCGGGTTATTAACTCAACAAGCGCAGTGATTCACTTAAGAGCTGCGACAAGGAAGGTCGTAAAATTAACATTTTAGCATCGGAAATGTTGGGACGAATTGTAGATTACCTCACACGCTAAGACGTATCTCCAAATCAAAGCTAGCTGAGCTGGGTATGTTTTATGAATGTACTTGTTAGCTCTTTAACTTTAAAGTGATTGGATCATCTCATCTGCTATGGCTTTATTTCATTATTAGTAATAGTAGTAATAGTAATAGTAATAGTAATAGTAGTAAAGTTGGAAGGGACCTTGGAGGTCATCTAGTCCAACTCCCTGCTCGGGCAGGAAACCCTACACCATTTCGGACAAATGGCTGTCCAGTCTCTTCTTAAAAACTTCCAGTGTTGGAGCATTTACTGCTTCTGGAGGCAAGCTGTTCCACTGATTAATTGTTCTCACTGTCAGGAAGTTTCTCCTTAGTTCTAGGTTGCTTCTCTCCTTGATTAGTTTCCACCCGTTGCTTCTTGTCCTGCCTTCAGGTGCTTTGGAAAATAGCTTAATTCCCTCTTCTTTATGGCAGCCCCTGAGATATTGGAATACTGCTATCATGTCCCCCCTTGTCCTTCTCTTCGTTAAACTAGACATACCCAATTCTCGCAACCGTTCCTTATATGTTTTAGCCTTCAAACTTGGCCCTTTTATGACTTGTGGACTTCAACTCCCAGAATTCCTCCTTTTATGACATGTGGACTTCAACTCCCAGAATTCCTCAGCCAGGCACATGTGCCTGGCTGAGGAATTCTGGGAATTGAAGTTCATAAGTCTTAAAGCGGCCAAGTTTGAAGACCCCTGAGGTAAATGTTCATTTAGTGAGCGTTCATTTAGGCCTGCTGGCTGAGGAATTCTGGGAATTGAAGTCCACGAGTCATAAAAGGGCCAAGTTTGAAGACCCCTGGACTAAAGTGATGGCCTAAAACAGGTTTCCTGGTCAATGATAGATCAGATAATGTGCTGGTATTTACAAGTGATGAATGTTTTTTTTTTCCTAATCCCAGCATTTTAACGTTTATGCTTTTGATTATTTTTTTAAAATATGAGAAGAAAATTGATTGTGATTTCTTTGTTGTCGTTGTTGTTTACTTTTCAGTGGGCTTGGGGGGGCTTTTACTTCCCCCCCCCCAAAAAAAAAAGCTCAGAAGAGGAGGATAGCATTTCACTGAGATTTTGGATAAACAAACGTCCATTTTTTTTTTAGTCATGTTTTTTAAAGTAACCTTTTCCTATGATCTCGTTAGCCTTTTGGACAAAGGCGATTGTCAGGCACAAGGGAGCATCTAAGAGAGGGTCTGAAAAGTCACAAGGACAGCCTCTGTGTTGTGATTTTTGCTTTCCCACATTTTCACCCTCCTGTGGACATCCCTGGCAGAAACTTTATGGCAGGGGTCTTCAAATGTGGCCCTTTTATGATGTGTGGACTTCAACTCCCAAAATTCCTCAGCCAGGCACGTGTGGACGCTTGCCTGGCTGAGGAATTCTGGGAGTTGAAGTCCACATGTCATAAATTCTGGGAGTTGAAGTCCACACATGCCTGACTGAGGAATTCTGGGAGTTGAAGTCCACAAGTCATAAAAGGGCCAAGTTTGAAGACCCCTGCTTTATGGGCTTGTCTCTTCCTTCTGTCTTTGAGTGAGAAACATTCTCTCTGGATATTTGCATTTGTATCCAAGGAGAATTTTCATGCATAGAAGAAAAAATGTAGATGTCTTTGTATGCTGAAATACCATTCTGGGCAAAGTGATTTTAAATATTTTGTGACCTTCCCACCGAAGCCGTTCCTATTTATCTACTCGCACTTGCTAGGTGGGCAGGAGCTGGGACAGAAGACGGAAAGAAGCTCACCCGTTGCACAGTGCTCAGGTCTCAAATCTTTCCAGCTGACAAGTTCAGCGTCTTTAACCACTGAGCCATTGTGCCCCGGCCTAGAAGCCCACCTTGCTGTAACATTTGACATCATTTCCTATTTTAAATACTGGCCAATTTAGCAGGCATGAATTATGTTGAGATGTGTGAATTGGATTACTCCTTCAGTAATTATGCTTCCTACAAATAAAATCTTATCCTACTTTTTTTTTTTTACGTAAGATCATCCTTTCTGTGACCTACTGTAAAACATGGATTTTTTTTTTTAAAGCCACAATTGGCTATGATTTTACAACACTTGGGGCAAAACCAACCATCCACTGTATGATGTGTAAATCGAAACTTTTGCCTTGAAAGTATCTTGAAAATTTACTTTTGGCCCAATAATTTTGTGTCTCTCTAGCCTATTTTTCACCCTTGTTTTATCTTTCGCTTTAATATGCAAAAAACAATCGCCTGTCCAAAAGAGATCTGGTGAACGCTGGACTGGAAAAACAAGCCAAACCTATAATAATATATTCATGCTGGATGAAGGAAGATCCCGACATAAACTTGAATAGCTGATATTTAGATTAGAAGGATGAAATAGAAGTTTGAGATAAGAAATCCTCCCCTCAGGTCTCAAATCACCTGAAAATAAGTTGTTGTTGTTTTTGTGGGGTGGGGTTGGGGAAATGTCAAGAAATTGCCATTGATTTATCAATATGAAATATAAATATATTTATAAAATATAAGACTATGAAATACCTCTTCTGTCAGATGCCGAGGTTCAATGCATTTCTGGGAACTATGAATAAACGCTCTCACTGATTTATCTTGTTGATTATTTGTAAGTGTGAATAATATGTAATCAAAGAGGCTTTATTTTTTAATTCAAGAATAAAAAAAAACTCTGTGAAACTGTATTGAAGTTTTTGTTTTCTTTCTTCTAGCTGGGTGATGAGTGATTTGCTCCATGTCGCATGCTCTTTGCGTGTGACAGACTCTGCTTCCATTTCTACTTCCTACTTATGATAAATCCTCCCGTATTGAAATATCCACCTTGATAGGAGTTAATCACGTGTCTAAGGCTGTGTTTACACCAGGGCTAGGCAACCTTGGCTCTTTTATGACTCGCGGACTTCAACTCCCAGAATTCCTGAGCCAGCATGGCTCAGCATGGAAACCTTTCCCTTTCCCCTCAGCATGGCTGGCTCAGGAATTCTGGGAGTTGAAGTCCACCAGTCATAAAAGAGCCAAGGTTGCCTAGCCCTGGTTTGCACAATATGCTCAAGGGATGGGTGTGTGTTTCACTACATTATACAAGTAGCCCTTGATTTAGAACCATTCTTTGGAAATTTCAATGGCTCTGAGAACAGTGACAACCATTTTTTTCACACGCGTGACCGTTGGGGCATCCCCAGGGCCACGTAATCAAAATTCAGATTGCTGTGCAGGTCCTGAGGTTTTGCTTGATTAAAAAAAAATACAAGAAACCAGAAGTTGCCTTCAAGCTTGACGTTTTTTATTCAGCTGAACAAAGACGGGCTTCTCTAAAAGAGAGAAAAAGCCCCAAATATCAGAAAAGCCTTATTTTTATACTTTCTTTGATTACATAAGCAATTCACCCAGTCAAGCTGACACATCTAAGATAAAGACTTCGCCTTTTAAGGCTGGTACACTGTAGATAAGGAAGAAAGCAGAAGTAGCTAGAAATGTTCCCTTTGGGATGTTCCTCCCCCAAGACACCATATGTTCCCTTTTGGGTGGTTTAGGTCAGGGCTTTTCAACCAGTGGTACGGGTACCACCTGTGGTACATTGGCACCTGGCAGGTGGTACGCGACCATCCTAGAAAAGTGGTAGCGGGGAAGGGGAATGAGCTGAACCGGTGGCAGCACCGCACAAGCCTGAGCGAGAGATGGCTGGAGCTGCACGGCTGTCAGGACTCAGCGGAAGTGCCAGGATCAGCGCCAGGCTCCAGCTGGAGTTCGGCGCTGATCCTGATGCTTCTGCTGAGCCCTGAAGAAGCACCAATCAGTGGTGATAAAAAGAGGGATGAGAGAGATTAAGAACTTTAATATATCTGGTAGAGATATTCGAAGTAATAATTTGTTGATGTAAAACAATATTTGATTATGGTAATTGTAAATTGATAAAAGTTTTCAAAACAGGTTGAGTAGTAATAGAAATCTAAGTTAGAAATGGAGTATATTAAATTTATTATGTTAGCTGTGGGAAATAGAGAGATGACAGTGAATGTATTAAGTTGAGCGGTTTATCTATGTTTTTTTTTACTTTGGAATGTTTCTTTACCCAAACACCACGGTGTGTCTTAAGTACTTTTTGTTAAAATTAAAAAAACAATAAAATATATTTTAAAAAAAGAAGAAGCACCAATCAGCTGGAATGTTGCAGCATCTCCAGGGTCTTGTGATTTACATTCAGATGCTTGGCAATTGATTCATATTTATGACAGTCACAGTGTCCTTTTTGTGAAGTGACCAAAACCTGCTGCAACCACCCAGCAGACGGGGGGAATAAAAACCAAACACCCCCCCCCACCCCACTTCCGCTGCCAATCCTCAACAGAAATGCTCACAACAATGAAAACCTCCGACAGGAGGAAGAGTGCCGCCAGGTGGGCAGGCAGGTGTCTTGCTCGGCTGTGGCTTGGGGGGCACTTTTTTCACTGCCATTGTAACTTCGAACAGTCACTAAGCGAACTGTTGTAAGTCGAGGACTACCTGTACTTTATTACTTTTTTCCCTTTTTTTTTTTTTTTGGTCATCAAGTTTTTGACATCTTGCTAGGCGACTAGTGGTACTCGGATATTGCCATATCCTAAAAATGGTATAATGGGTGAAAAGGTTGAAAAGCCCTGGGTTAGGATGTTGGGTGTTTCCTTTGCTATCCTTTTATGACCCTGCATTCATGGTTCTGCAAGTGGTCAGAGGTAGTGGGGCCATCTGCACGTATTCAAACTGAATACGTTTTTCTGGCTCAGAATTGAAAATGGATCGACCGCCGTGACAGGACAGCAGGGAGAAGAGAGAGATGAAATACTGTACTTGGGGGTTTCAGCTCTGGACCTTGGCCCTCATTCTGGAGGAAGTTGACTTTTCTTAACCAAGGGAAACAGATGATCTGAGACGGATTTTACCCATCGAGTACTAAAGGTGTTGAACAATCCCGCAGTGCTGATTGGCTTGATGGAAAGAAGAGCGGAACATCAACCAGTTGATTTAAATCTTTTTCTGGATCAGTCTCCAGGAGGGCCAGTGGAGGAGGAAAGATGCCTTTGAACTGGGTAGCTGGGGGCAAAGTGGGCATGGCCAAGAGTTGGCACCTAAACATCCTAGAGTCTAGACCAGGGGTCTTCAAACCTGGCGCTTTTATGACTTGTGGACTTCAACTCCCAGAATTCCTCAGTCAGCATGCCTGGCTGAGGAATTCTGGGAGTTGAAGTCCACAAGTCATAAAAGGGCCGAGTTTGAAGACCCCTGTCCTAGACCCTCTGAAGACAGGACAAGAAAACACTAACCTTGCAGTTCAATTTGACCATTAGATGGTGCTAAATGGTAGATTAAAATTGGTGGAGAAACAGCTGAGCCAGGAAATTGTACAATTTCCATCATCTGCCCTTTAGAAGGCCAGGTAATTTGTGCTTCATATTAAACCTGGTGTCTTCTGGTTGATTCAGTTTGATAGACTTTTGCATATTTGCCTGCACTCTTTATCAAACCAACTCAGTTCAATGCTTTATGAAAAATCCACAGAGCTGTTCAAATCTGTGTATCCGACTGACAAATCTACTTGACAATTTACACTGATTCTTGGGTGACTCGTACATCCATCCTTTACATCTCAAAGTTAAGCTTACATTTTCACATCCCCCACATGATGGAAAAAAAGAGCAATCATGGGCCAAATCACTGCTTCTCCATTCAGTTGGTACCTGCTAAAAATGGCCATGTCTGCAGAGGTTGTGAATTCTCCAACACTAGAAGTTTTTCAGAAGAAACTGGACAGCCATTTGTCTGAAATGGTATAGGGTTTCCTGCCTGAGCAGGGGTTGGACTAGATGACCTCCAAGATCCCTTCCAACTATTCTATTCCATTCCATTCCATATTTTCTATTCTATTCTATTCCATTCCATTCCATTCCATTCCATATTTTCTATTCTATTCTGTTCTGTTCTGTTCCATTCCATTATTATAATCAATTCCCTATTCTATTCTATTCTATTCTATTCTATTCTATTCTATTCTATTCTATTCTATTCTATTCCATTCCATATTTTCTATTCTATTCTATTCTATTCTATTCTATTCCATTCCATATTTTCTATTCTGTTCTGTTCTATTCTATTCTATTCCATTCCATTATTATAATCCATTCCCTATTCTATTCTATTCTATTCTATTCTATTCTATTCTATTCTATTCCATTCCATTCCATATTTTCTATTCTATTCTATTCTATTCCATATTTTCTATTCTGTTCTGTTCTATTCTATTCTATTCTATTCTATTCCATTCCATTCCATTCCATTATTATAATCCATTCCCTATTCTATTCTATTCTATTCTATTCTATTCTATTCTATTCTACAGAATTAAAGCTGTACCCTCCTGGATTGGACCCCTGACCCACCTAGTCCATCAGCCTGTTCACAGAGTGACCAACCAACAACACAAGGAAGCCCTCTAGACTCCCAGGAGAAGGCCTTCAGAGGCAGTCCCACTGCCATCAAGACCAAAATCCCCTGATCCCACAGCTTGGTCTCATTCTTTCTAAAATCAGCCAAGTTGAGAGGCAGCACCTTACCTTATAGCATAATTCCAAAATTTAATTACATGCCATGTTTTTTTTTTAAAAAAAATCCTTAGGTTTGTCCCTATTCTTCCAAGGTTCAATTTTATTGAATCAAAATATTTTCAGGGGAGAACATGAAGCTCATGTTAAACCAAGAGGCTATCATACTACGCTACTACTGTATTAGGATCCCCACCCCACCCCACCCCAAAACTGTTAACATGCTGGGCTTGATTTGTTTACTCATTGCAAAAACAAAATTGATTTTGGGCACAATGAACAAGTGAATTTTTAAACTCCGTATGTCCAGGAAACAATGATAAAAGTTGTACAACAATAGAACTCTATAGCTATAGTAACCTGTGGCTCAAAAGGTTAATACAGCTGCCTAATATGCAAGCTGCCCAGGTTCGAATCCCAGAGGGGTATGACTAGCTGATGGGAGCTAAAGAGCTTGAAATAGCTATACTAGTCTCCCACTAACTCTTTGTCAGCCACAAAATTTTGAATTTATAGTATTCACAGTATGTGACGTCTGCCTGCAAAACATGCTCCTAGATTGGAGCAAACGCAGAACAGACTGATTTATATTTGGTAGACCAGGTGCTTCACCCAACAGATAAGATATATATCCTCTCTGGTTTCTGCTGACAAGAGCAAGGAGGAACCTGTGGCTCAAAAGGTTAATACAGATGCCTAATATGCAAGCTGCCCAGGTTCGAATCTCAGAGGGGTATGACTAGCTCAGTGATGCCAAACCTTTTAGAGACCGGGTGCCCAAACTGCAACCCAAAACCCACTTATGTATCGCCGGGTGCCGGGTGGGTGTGGCCCACTCGGCAGGTGCAGCTACAGTGGGCTTGGCAGACTGGGTGGGCGTGGCTACCTTGATGTTGCTTATGGGGAGGGACACCTGTGGGAGCCGGGCAGGGTTGGGGGAGATCCAGGGGGTATCTGGCAGGTGGGATGGTGGGCTCCCCAATGGTGGCTCCAGGCTGGCTGCCCTTAGGCCAGTGATGGTAAACTTGTAGAGACCACATGTGCTGGGGCGATGGCGTGTGCCCACAGAGAGGGCTCCGCATGCTGCTTCTGGCACGCGTGCCATAGGTTCGCCACCACTGGACTAGCTGATGAGAGCTAAAGAGCTCGAAATAGCTATACTAGTCTCCCACTAATTCTTTGTCAACCACAAAATTTTGAATAGCTATAGTATTTACGACTCTTGACCTCTAGAACAGTGGTTCTCAACCTGTGGGTCGGGACCCCATTTGGGGTCGAACGACCATTTCACGGGGGTCGCCAAACAAGGCTGTCCGCCATTTTTCCCCCTTTTTCTTTGGCCAGGCCCCTGGCACCCGGTGATGTATAAGTGGTTGGGGGTCACCACAACATGGGGAACTGTATTATGAGGTCGTGGCATTAGAAAGGTTGAGAACCACTGCTCTAGAAGTTTTTTTAAAATTTTGAATAGCTATAGTATTTACGACTCTTGACCTCTAGAAGTTTTTTTTAAGAGGATGTTGAATAACAATCTCTCAAAGATGATCCCACTTTAAGATGTGTGGGCTTCAATTCCCAGAATTCCCCAGCCGACAGACGTCAACACATTGTAAACTTGCTGAGATTAGGAAACGTTAATTGAATTGAATTTCCTGCACATTGGAGAGGGTTGGACTAAAGATCCTTCATTGTCCATTTGTGTTTATTTATTCATGGTCCATTAAATAGTTTATTTCTGATTCAATTATTTCTACATTGCCACATAACATTCTGGGTAAAGAAAGTGCAGGAGGGAAATTTCTATCACTGATCTTCCTCATCAGAAAACAAAAAAAGTGCCTTGAACTTCTCTCACACAGATTATCAACACCCCAATTCTCTGCCTAATTATTTTCAGGCTATAATTGTGTTCCTTGAGGAACAATAGGAAGAATTATAATAGGGCAGGGGTCAAGAAACCTGTGGGAACTCAAGGCTTATGGAACCAAACCAAACTAGAGATATGTAGATAATGATCATTAAGGAGCAATAAATGAAGCAGCTCATATTGGCTATGGTACACCGAATTGATTGTTGTAAGACAGGGGTCTTCAAACTTGGCCCTTTTATGACTTGTGGACTTGAAGTCCACAAGTCTTAAAGTGGCCAAGTTTGAAGACCCCTGAGGTAAACGTTCATTTAGTGACCGTTCATTTAGGCACACTGACTGAGGAATTCTGGGAGTTGAAGTCTACAAGTCATAAAAGGCCCAAGGTTGAAGACCCCTGTTCTAAGAGATGGGACAAAAAATAGAAGTAAGGACAACAGAATGGATCAGCTGCAATCCTCAAGAGCAGAATTTCTTTACAAGTTCCTCCTGTTTCTTCTCCATCTGATTCTTTGGAAGAAAACGAATCTATCCATGTGAAAAATATTAGTCTTTTAAACATGTTTTGATCCAGGTGCGTATGGTTCATTTCCAAATCAACATTCATAAATGAGATGTTTTGCCACTTCGCTGAATGTCATTTTCTTCTTAAATGTCTCTTCAAACAGCCGGTTCTGTTTGGGAGTGAAGTGATTCTTCCAATCACCAACGGTACCTAGAAAAGGATTAGAAATAAGGAAGGGTAGCTGAAGTCCAGAGATGAAGCCCACAGGTCTTAACATTGCCAAGGCCAGACACTCCCTGATTCAAATCAATAAAATGCAGCATCCCACCGAGCAGAGGGGGGATCTCAGCACATTGACAGGCCAGATTAACAATTGGCAATCATTCACTTCATTCACCCCCAGGGCAGCTAGCAGCCCCATTCACGCATGCACAAATGGGCTGCACAACCCACCCAGCACTAGCGGCCCTGTTTGCGCATGCGCAAATGGGCCACACACACCTGCCTGGTGCTAGCAGCCCCATTTGCACATGCGGGCATGTACAAATGGAGCCACGGGCGCTAGAGCGAGTGGGGAGAATGCGTGCCCACGTGTGCGTGCACCAGCCAGCCATTTCCGTGGCCCACTGGCCAAGAGCCTGCAACCTGATCCTGGGCCGTGGCCCATAGGTTGGGGACCCCTGGTCTAGATTGTCAGGGTGACAATTTCACCATGATGCTTTGGCATCTTGCCTGGAATAGAATAGATAGAGCTGGAAGGGACCTTGGAGATAATTAATAATAATAATAATAATAATAATAATAATAGTAATGATGATGATGATGATGGAAGGGACCTTGGAGGTCATCTAGTCCAACCGCCTGCTCAGGCAGGAAACCCTACACCATCTCGGACAAATGGCTGTCCAGTCTCTTCTTAAAAACTTCTAGTGTTGGAGCATTCTGGAGGCAGGTTGTTCCACTGATTACTTGTTCTGACTGTCAGAAAATAATCTGGTATATATATATGGTTCTCATCCCTTGAAAACAACAGAACAGTCAACCTATATATCCACAGCCCTTTGCAGAGAAATGTATCTAGACTCTGATTAGTTCCAGATAAGCTCAGCAACTTTGTCCTGTGATGTTAGCTGCCTTAGGGAGCTTTATGGGCAGATGGGAGGAAGGGGAAGCCCAGAAGCAGAGCTCAGAAAAGGCACATAAACACCTTGGTTGTGACCTGAACTGGAAGAACTCAGTACCTCGAAATAAATGAAACAAAAACATGTCCAGACTGTTGTGTCCTGGGCCTGATGAGGAAATTCAGCAGGCCCAGAATTGTTGCAATTGGTCCCGGTATTCTAAAAGCTGCCTGGGACCAGACAGAGCAGCACCAGCCTTGCGCGCATGCGCAAGGCGCAAAGAAAGAAGAAATCTTATTGGTTCACTCTGTCCGGGGTTCAAGCCCTATAAAAGGCCTGCGTGCCTTTTGCTTTTTGCTGGGAGTTGGAGTAAGAGAATAAAGCATTGATTAATTGTCACCATGTGTCTTCAACATTCGCACGCAAACGGAAAACTCAACACAGATGACAATATTTTCATAGCTCTGAGAGTTAAGGGGATGGAGTGATAAAGAATTGGGGATATGTTTACAAGTAGAAAATGCGCTATTTAGAAGTTTAAGAGATTAGAAGACGGATCTACATCAGGGATATGTCCAAGCACTAGGACACTAGCTGATACATGAAACATACAATATATTTTATTTTACAATAAAAATAGTCCTGACCTACATGGCATTGATTTTTTTTTAGCCTGGTCTACTTCGGTTGAGATGTACCTTCTAAATCCGTGGTTCTCAACCTTTTCTTCACCATGGACCTGCTTTAAATACCTTTTTTGGCCATGGAACCCTAAGATTTAACTCAATCATAACATTTTTTTTCAAGCCTTCACCGACCCCCTGTGATAAATCACGATCCCCCCATGCGTCCGCAGACTACAGGTTGAGGATCACTGTTCCAAACGATTTAGACCAGTCCTCAAGGGAGATATTTCAACAGGTTCAACTCCTCAAATTACCTTTTCGGAATATCAATTTCCGGTTGGAAGTGAGTACGCAGACCGTGTGGCTTTGATCAGAATTTTCTTTTTCTGTACTGGATTTCATTTCACTGAAGGAAGCCCTTTTGCAAATTTCATAGATCTGGCTCTCGCTGGGGTTGAGCCCTAGGAAGGCACTTAATTTCTTCACCATCTTGGGGAGATCCTGAACGTGTAAAACAACAGAGAGAAAAAATGATCTGTAATGTTTTTTGTTCTGTGTTTATTCCCTCCCACTGAAACGGAAGGAGTAGGAATCCCTGCAGATTTTATTCCGCTGGTCATTGCCAACTTTAGGGTGTGTGTGTGCTCATCTCCATTTCAAGGGCCATTGAGCCAGTGCAGTCCGAAGACATTTCCAAAGTCATGTAGCCAGTGTCAACGCAGCTAACATCACAGAAGTGCTATTAATTTCCCACTGAAGTGTTACCTATTTATCTACTCGCATTTCCATGCTTTCAAACTGCTAGGTCAGTGATGGCGAACCTTTTAGAGACCTAGTGCCCAAACTGCAACCCAAACCCCACTTATTTATCACCAGGTGCCGGGTGGGCATGGCCGGGTGGTCATGGCAGATTGGGTGGTGGGGCCAGGGTGGCAGGGGCCAGTCCCTTGCCATCTCCGGGGCACGGCACGTGTGCCCACAGAGAGGGCTCTGCGTGCCACTTCTGGCACGCGTGCCATAGGTTCGCCACCACTGTGCTATATTGTAAGGGGCTGGGACAAGGAGCTCACCCCTCATATGGCATTTGGCTCTTGAACCTGGGCTGCCGGCGTTCCTGCTGACAAGCCCAGTGACTTAACCACCGATCCACCGCACCACACAATGGAAGGAGTGAACATACAAAATCAGGCAAAATTTTCAAAGGATTCCTCCCCCTCCCTCCAAATCTTTGCCAAAAGAGCTCAAGTCTTAAACATATTTACTGGGAAGATAGATCTCATTCTGCTCTCCCAGTAGAGCAGCTGTCCTCAGTGTACGATATCCCAAGTCGGTTGGATTGCAAATTTGAGGATTCCCAAGTATCCTCATAATCCAACATATCGAGTATATTACGTTTTTCCAATTGACGCCCGTGGGAAAAAAATAATTCCCTACCTTTCCCTTTGATTGTGATTTGTATTGCTGTTGTTTTTCCATTTTACAATCCCATGCAGATCAGATTAGTGTAGTAGGCATCAATGTGTTCATCCCGTATAGAAATATAAATGTACTGATAAAGATTTCCCTGTCCAGTCATGTCCAACTCTGGTGAGCGGTACTCAACTCCATTTCTTAGCCAAGGGAGCCAACTATATGCCAAAGGCACACTGAACGCTGTTACCCTCCCAACAAAGGGGTACCTATTTATCTACTTGTATTTTCATGCTTTGGAACTGCTAAGTGGAAAGGAGCTGGAGCAAGGGACAGGAGCTCACCCCATCGCACAGCGCTTGGATCTTGAACCTTCCCAGCTGACAAGCTCAGAGTCTTTAACCACAGAGCAATCAGGACCCTATGTAGAAACATACTGTTGCATTTTGGTTTATCAAATTTATTTTGCTTTTTAGAGGTCTTTCAAAAACGAAGAAAGATTTGGGTGCATTTAATGGAGAAAGGTCACATTCTTGCACTTAGTTAATGGCCAAATGTTTTGTATCAATGATCTGGTTTAATCGCCTATCCTTTCTCCAGGCGTTTACAGCTTTTTTGGCTTCTTAATGTCACAGAAAGACAGTGGGTGAAAATTCCTCCAATTGCTCTGTTTCAGATTGAGAAGGGTGGATAACGGAAAAAGACATCAAGATGATGGGAGAGGCTCAACAGGAAATAACAACATCCACCGTAGCTTTCTTTATCTTCTACCACAATAAACTCCACTTTATAATGTTGCAAGAAATTCCCAAGCAATGTGAGAATAAAGAGGTCCTTGGTGGTCTCTGAGCTTGATTGTTTACTTGCCGACTTTTTGTTACCAAACAGTGTGCTGCAGCTGCCCAAAAAGCCAACATAGTCCTAGGCTGCATTAACAGAGGGATAGAATCAAGATCACATGAAGTGTTAATACCACTTTACAATGCTTTGGTAAGGCCACACTTGGAATGCTGCATCCGGTTTTGGTCACCACGATGTAAAAAAGATGTTGAGACTCTAGAAAGAGTACAGAGAAGAGCAACAAAGATGAACAGGGGACTGGAGGCTAAAACATATAAGGAACGGCTGCTGGAATTGGGTATGTCTAGTTTAACGAAGAGAAGGACGAGGGGGGACATGATAGCAGTGATCCAATATCTCAGGGGCTGCCACAAAGAAGAGGGAGTCAAGCTATTCTCCAAACCGCCTGCAGGCAACAGATGGAAACTAATCAAGGAGAGAAGCAACCTAGAACTAAGGAGAACCTTCCTGACCATTAAAACAATTAACCAGTGGAACAACCTGCCTCCAGAAGCCATGAATGCTCCAGCACTGGAAGTTTTTAAGAAGAGACTGGATAGCCATTTCTCTGAAATGGTATAGGGTTTCCTGCCTGAGCAGGGGGTTGGACTAGATCAGTGGTTCTCAACCGGTGCGTCGGGACCCCATTTGGGGTCGAATGACCATTTCCCAAGGGTCGACAAACAAGGCTGTCCACCATTTTTTCCCCCTTTTCTTTGGCCACGCCCCTGGTACCCGGTGATGTATAAGTGGTTGGGGGTCACCACAACATGGGGAACTGTATTATGGGGTCACAGCATTAGAAAGGTTGAGAACCACTGGACTAGATGATGTCCAAGGTCCCTTCCAACTTTCTTCTTCTTCTTCTTCTTCTTCTTCTTCTTCTTCTTCTTCTTCTTCTTCTTCTTCTTCTTCTTCTTCTTCTTCTTCTTCTTCTTCTTCTTCTTCTTCTTCTTCTTCTTCTTCTTCTTCTTCTTCTTCTTCTTCTTCTTCTTCATTTTTATTATTAGATGAAAAAATTAGATGACCTCTAACATTATTATTATTATTGATCATCGCACAGTCAGCCAGATGTTCAGACTGGATTTGGCATTTTGTCTACCTATCAAGTCCTTACCCAGGACCTGGGATAGGCAGATGTGGATGTTTGATGGTATTACAGATATCGTCGCAGGATGGAAGCAGTTCCTAATAAGGCCGCCTTTTGCAATTGACTAATAGCGAATTTGTCAATGCCAATGGTGTTCAAGTGGTGCTCCAGTTGTTTTGGGATTGCACCCAAGGAGCCTATGACTATTGGTACTACCCTTGCTTGCTTTTGCCACAGTCTTTCTATTTCTATTTGTAGGTCTTTGTATTTTGTTATCTTCTCCAGTTCTTTCTCTTCTATTCTGCTGTCTCCAGGCACTGCCACATCCACTATCCAGACTTTTTTGTCTTTCTTATCGACAATTGTTAAGTCTGGGGTGTTATGTTGCAGGTGCTTGTCTGTTTGAATTCTGAAGTCCCAGAGCAGTTTAATTTTATCATTTTCTATGACTTTCTCTATTTTATGATCCCACCAGTTTTTTCTTACAGGCAAATGATATTTTTTGCAGATCTTCCAATGCACCATTGTTGCTGCTATTATTATTATTATTATTATTATTATTATTATTATTATTATTGTTGTTGTTGTTGTTGTTGTTGTTGTTGTTATTTAGGTAACATCATCAGCACTAATTTGGATAATGAAACTTCTGCAAGAAAACAACTAAGCTCAAAGAGTGTCAAGGACCCCTCATTTCAACCCCAAGTACAAATATTCTCCTTTATTAGTGGGAGGAAAGTTAGAAAAACAGAAGCCTCTTTGAAAGAAGAAGAAACAAAATCTGAGAAACTGCAAGAGGGATTATAATGTATTTACAGGGAGTCTGGAAAGACACTCCCAGATGGATTTCAGTACTTTTCCATGCCTAAGCAGAATGGTGTACATAGATAGGACTTTTTCTCTAGAGGACATAATCCATTATCTTATCTTATCCTACAAGAACATGGAATCTAACCCATCTCATGGTGTTGTTGTCAGAATGAAAGGGAGAACCATATAGATTACTGTTTTCTAGTCAGGAAAGGCTTTATAGGTTTGTTTGTTTTTTTAGAAAAAACAGTTGGCCTAGTGCAGGGGTAGGCAACCTTGGCTCTTTTATGACTCGTGGACTTCAACTCCCAGAATTCCTGAGCCAGCCATGCTGAGGGGAAAGGGAGAGGTTTCCATGCTGAGCCAAGGTGGCTCAGGAATTCTGGGAGTTGAAAGTCCACGAGTCACAAAAGAGCCAAGGTTGCCTATCCCTACCCTAGGCCGCTTTATGACTCGTGGACTTCAACTCCCAGAATTCCTGAGCCAGCCATGCTGAGGGCAAAGGGAGAGGTTTCCAAGCTGAGTCATGCTGGCTCAGGAATTCTGGGAGTTGAAGTCCACCAGTCATAAAAGAGCCAAGGTGGCCTGCCCCTGGCCTAGTGGTTAAGGCAGCAAAGTAGAAGCCAGGAGACAATAAGTTCTAGTTCCATATTTCTTTGGGATGAAAGCTGTCTGGGAAACTATGAGTTCTAGTCCCACCTTAGCCATGAAAAGCTAAGTGACTTTGGGCCAGTCACTCTAGCTCAGCCCAGCCCACCTCACAGGCTTGTTGTTGTGAGGAAAATCAGAGAGGAAGGGGTGTTAGGTATGTTTGCCATTCTGAGTTACTTATAAAGGAATAAAAGCTGGGTAAAAAAAAATCTAATGAAACACACAAGTAAGTAAGTAAATAAATAAATAAATATTAGATTCCTTAACACACAAACACACAGGCATGCACATACACACAATCATACACAGAGAGAAAAGGGAGTCAACCTATTCTCCAAAGCGCCTGAAGGCAGGACAAGAAGCAACAGATGGAAACTAATCAAGGAGAGAAGCAACCTAGAACTAAGGAGAAACTTCCTGACAGTGGGAACAATTAACCAGTGGAACAACCTGCCTCCAGAAATAGTGAATGCTCCAAGACTGGAAGTTTTTAAGAAGAGACTGGATAGCCATTTGTCCGAAATGGTATAGGTTTCCTGCCTGAGCAGGGGGTTGGACTAGATGACCTCCAAGGTCCCTTCCAACTATTATTATTGTTGTTGTTATTATTGATCATCGCACAGTCAGCCAGATGTTCAGACTGGATTTGGCATTTTTGTCTACTTATCGAGTCCTTCCCAAGGACCTGGGATAGGCAGATGTGGATGTTTGATGGTATTGTTGTTGTTGTTATATAAAGAGAATATGCAAAAAAAAAAAAAAAATACCCTACCATTCTGGAGATCAAAGAATCAAATTTTGAAACAATTCTCCAATAGCTGAGTCTCTGATTCCTAGAAGGGTAGGTTTTGCACATCCCTTGGATAGGAATACATGCAAGACATATATCTGAGTGTGTGTCCAGTTAGGAGCAGGGTGGCCATAAAAAAAAAAAACCAAATAAATCATGTAAGTAGAACCTACCATTTTTGGAAAGGTAGAAGGGCTCTTAACATTCATCAATCTGATGCTTTTGTGCTGAACTACAATACGAAAACTCTCTGGCCATGTGGCTGTGCGATAACAACACATTAAAATGCATGAAGTTATGGGAAGCTATATCGTGATCAGCAAAAAGAAAAATAAGATGGAGCTAAATGCTTCGGCATCTGCCTCCTTCATCTGTTCCGTAGCAAGAAACGGATGCCAATTTACCTTTTTCATGTCTTCGTAGAACAAGAACAGGATGTTTTTCTCATGCAAATGTTTTTCCCAGCTTAAAACATGGTCAAACCAGGATCCGCAGACAACTGTTTTAAAAAAAAAAAAAAGACATTTGCATTACTACTTGAAGAGCCAGGAAGTTGATATTTGCAACTTCACAATAATTGATTTTTGTTAGGAAAGCTGAATATTGAGACAGGAGTCAAAATATTCCAACAGGTTAGATATCCAGACTTTCCCACAATCGTGATCTCTGTTTTATTATGGTTTACTGAATAAGACAATGTTAGTCAAGTTCACACAAAATGCTAAACTAAACAAACCACTTTATGGATTAGCATAGTATTCTGAGATAATGATTTTTTAAATCCATATTAACTTTGGTTTTATTGTACCACAATTATCCATGCCAGCCAAATCTCAGGCCATACCATTCTAATTTCCCAAGCCTTTTATTTCTTAGCAGTATCCACTCTTTCATCCAAATCAAATAGCGGGCTGCAAAATAAAATTTCAAATCAGGTAAACTCAGTCCTCTTTCTTTTGCATTCTCTAACCCTTTAACTTGTGTTTTCCCCTGATATACAAATTTAGATATACACTTTTGCACTGTTTAAATCATGCTTCAGTTGGAACAAAAACATAGTTCTAGGCAGGACATTAATTTTTAATAACATAATTTTTCCCCAGCAATTACACTTGTAGTTTCTCCCATCTTAAGATACCTTTTTAAAACTTATTTCCACATCTTAATATATTTTGAATAACATACAACTCATATTTGTCATAATGATACCCAGATATTTTTATTTTTTCTTTAAAGCTATTCTATTCCTTAATTATGTTTGATCTTCTACATTCATGTTTTTGCTCACATCTTCCTCTTCTGTTTGTTGACCTTAAAACCTGCTAATGCATCAAATTCTTCTAGTTTTTTCATCAATGTGAATAATAAATAATAATAAAATGGTCATCCCTATCTTGTCCTTTTTTGGTATTCACAAGGCTTCGTGAAATCTCCATTAACAATTATTTGTGATTTCTCTGAAGTATAAATCAATCTTACCCATTTTATAAGGTTCTGTCCAAAATCTATGCCTTGCAAAATTTTGGACATGAAAGCACAATGCAAATTTTGAAAGGCCCTCTCTAAGAAAATCAGTGCAGCTTGCTTTTTATGATGTTGCTCCAAATATTCCAAAATATTCTTAACTATCTAAAATATCTAAGATTGCCCTTGAACTGCCTTTTAAGTTAAAACCAGCATTGATCCTTCCAAGTAAATTCTTGCCAAAATGAATAGAGCTATTAAATAAATTGAATATTGTATCCTTCTTCTCACCCCTGCCCCTTCCTTTTCAAATCACCACACCACTTTGTTTACTTCCCTTAATAACATCAGTTCTACTTATTTCTTGGCTGATCTTTGGATTGTCCATTTTTTACAGCCATGTAGTAAATCAGCCTGAACAGTATTGGGATAATAAAATCCTTCCACTCCTGACCTCGACAAGGAATTCAAATGGCTGTCCAAGTCCTATAGCCTTTGTGATTTGGATCTGACAGTGCAAAATAGCCAAGTCAGGTATAAGGCAAAAGGTGTTTAAAATGTGCTTAAGAAATACAAGCCCAAAGTACCTGGGCATGAGAATGACGATGAGAACAATACAAAAAAAAAAAAAAAATGTTGAGACTCTAGAAAGAGTGCAGAGAAGAGCAACAAAGATGATTAGGGGGCTGGAGGCTAAAACATAGGTGGACAATTGAATGAACCAGATATGCGTAGCCTAATAAAGGGAAGGATTAGGGGTGACATGATAGCAGTGTTCCAGTATCTCAGGGGCTGCCCCAAAGAAGAGGGGGTTAACCTATTCTCCAAATCACTTGAAGGCAGGACAAGAAGCAACGGATGGAAACTAATCAAGGAGAGAAGCAACCTAGAACTAAGGAGAAACTTCCTGAGAGTGAGAACAATTAATCAGTGGAACAACCTGCCTCCAGAAGTTGTGGATGTTCCATCACTGGAGGATTTTAAGAAGAGATTGGACAGCCATTTGTCTGAAATGGTACAGGGTTTCCTGCCTGAGCAGAGGGTTGGACTAGATGACCTCCAAGGTCCCTTCCAACTCTGTTAACTGTGTATTCTTATAGCCACAGACCAAGAAACCAAGGTAACACTAGGAAGGTGATATTATCACGGCAGACAGAGCTTTGTTGGGAAATTGCATTATTAGGAATTATCACAAACAGTCCAAGGTCAAGGACTCATTATCATCTTCACACCCCTTCACAGTCCTCTGTGACAGATGCCCTCTGTTAACAGGCCAAGAAGAAAAGGCAGTGTCTTCCACTGCTTGATCCTCTTTCTTTGGGCAGTAGTATAAATTAGATACAGAGGAAGAAAGCAAGTGAATGGCCAGTGGAGACTGTGTTTTGCATTGCTTGCGCTGCACTGCATTGCACTGCGCTGTATGCATTGCTCTGCTCCGCACTGCACTGCATTCACGTTGCATTTACCTGCCTCCTTTTTGATGTGGATGGTGTTCCTTATCTTTTCCGCACCACAAATCTTTGTGGGGAGTCAAATTGAGAGGCAATAATAATAGTAGTAGTAGTAAAGTTGGAAGGGACCTTGGAGGTCATCTAGTCCAACCCCCTGCTCAGGCAGGAAACCCTACACCATTTCGGACAAATGGCTGTCCAGTCTCTTCTTAAAAACTTCCAGTGTTGGAGCATTCACTGCTTCTGGAGGCAGGCTGTTCCAATGACCGCTTCAACGTGATCTCTGCACTTAGTTGAGGTGGTTGGATATCTGTGGTCCCAATATGATACCTTCACTGCTACACAATTCACCCAGAGGATGACCCAGGAAGACCACCTTCCAGGAACGTGAAGAGGGCCCACCGCTGGAGATTGAAGGAGGTGTCTTCCTTATGCCCCACTAATGGCAGCACTCCACCACTTGGCCTCTGGCTATCACCATTCTACTCATGCTGTAAGAAGGATATTTCTACGGTGAGTTCCATGTGCAGGAAACTGCTGCAGTCAACTCTACTGCATTGTTCTTCAGGTGCCTAGCCAACCCCCCCTTGACAGCTACCCCTGAAGGGTGGGTATCGTACAAAGCAACTACCAGAAATGTCAGATTACAAAATCAGCAGATGGTAGCTGGGCCTCATTTCTCCACTAATCCAGGACTACTCCACTCTGCAATCCGTTCAGGAATTATTTTCTCTCAGAACAGAGGCCCCCAACCTTTTGGGCACCAGGGACCCGTTCCGTGGAGAGAGGTTTTTCTGCGGACCAGAGGGTGCGTGGTTTTGTGTGCTGCCTGCATCTTGCAAATGGGGCTTTGCTTGTTTGTGCGGACCGGTTGCTGGCATGCTGCGGCCCAGTATTGATCCACAAACCAGGGATTGGAGTCCCCCGTCTTAGAAGACAGAATAGTAAAAAAAAAAAAAAAAAAAACCTGGTGAATAAATGTCCCTGTTGTGGCCACAGAATTTTGCCAGGATTTAAGCCAGAGGTGGGCAACCTTGGCTCTTTTATGACTCGTGGACTTCAAATCCCAGAATTCCTGAGCCCGCATGGCTAAGCATGGAAACCTCTCCCTTTCCCCTCAGCATGGCTGGCTCAGGAATTCTGGGAATTGAAGTCCACAAGTCATAAAAGAGCCAAGGTTGCCTACCCCTGATTTAAGCAATCCCAACTCAATCCAAATAGTGACTTACCTTCCCTGACTACCAATAGCAAGAGTTCATTTCATAGGAAACGCCTATCTGTGGACAATATGAGTGATAAAGTGTAAAAAGCATAGTATAAAAAATGGCCTTACTGGATCTGATCAAGGACCATCTTAGTTCAGCATTTTGTTTCTCACAGTGGTCAACAAATTGCCCCTATGGTGCTCACAATAAGGAGATGAAGTCATGATCTCTATTTATATAAAGCTCCACACAGAGCAAAGAAAGAGTACAGTCACCACGTGCTTTACTGCTCAACTATTTATCTTTAACAGGAAACAGGAAATTCTACTCAGAACAAAGGAGCATAGAATATTTACCATAGATCCAAACTTGTAAATACTGTTTGGATCTATGGCATGTGTGTCAAACTCGCCGTGTCACATGACGTGTCGCGACATGCTACTTTTTTTTGCATTGCCAGAGCTGGGGTGGGCACGGCCTTTGTATGATGCATCTTGCCCGCAGGGCAGCAGTTTGACACCCCTGATCTATGGTATCCAATACTGCCATCTACTGGCTGAATACTACTATGGTTGTTACATAGAAATACATTCCAACAATGAATAGAATAGAATAGAATAGAATAGAATAGAATAGAATAGAATAGAATAGAATAGAATAGAGCTGGAAGGTCTTCTAGTCCAGGCCCCTGCTCAAGCAGGAGGATCTATACCACAGGTCGGCAACCTGCGGCTCCAGAGCCGCATGCGGCTCTTTGAGCCTTCCCCGGTGGCTCCCAGCCTCCTCTGCCTTTGCAGAGAGAGACAGAGGCAGAGAGAGGCAATTGCGCTTCCCTGCTTCCTTCTCTCTCTCTCTCTCTCTCTCTCTCTCTCTCTCTCTCTCTCTCTGTGTGTGTGTGTAAAAGATTGCACTCACAGTGTTCTCCAAGGAGCTGAAAAGCTTTCTGGACGGAGCTCCTCTCTTTGCTGCATCTCTGCAGGAAGCAGGAAGCAGGAAGGGCAGGAGAGAGCTAGCTAGCCCAGCTAGGCTGACTCAGGAATTCTGGGAGTTGAAGTCCATGAGTCATAAAAGAGCCGAGGTTGCTTACCCTGAGCTTGTTGGACAACAGCTTGAAGCTTGCCAGGTGAGCAGCAGATAGGAGAGAGAGAGAGAGAGAGAGAGAGAGAGAGGGAGAGAGAGAGAGAGAGAGGAAAGAGAGAGAGAAAGAAAGAGAGTGGGGGAAGAGGAGTGGCAGGCAGACCAAGGGCAGATAGAGAGGGAGGGAGAGAGAGAGACAGACAGACAGAGAGAGAGAGACCCTTTTGACATCTAAAATGAAGATAATACTGCATATATCCTTTTTTTACCTGTATGTGTATGTGTATGTACGTGTATATATATATGTGTGTGTGTGTGTGTGTATACATACACACACACACACATATACACACACACAAACACACACACACCTATAATAAAGGTAAAAAAGGATATATGCAGTGTTATCTTCATTTTAGTTATCAAAAGGATTTTGCGGCTCCCGGTGTTTTGTTTTTGGAGGGAAACGGGTCCAAGTGGCTCTTTGAGTGTTTTGGGTTGCCTACCCCTGACCTATACCATCTCAGACAGGTGATTGCCCAATCTCTTTTTAAAAACTTCCAGTGATGGAGCGCCCACGATTTCTGGGGGTAAGCTATTCCACTGGTTGATTGTCCTCACTGTCAGGAAGTTTCTCTTTAATTCCAGGTTGCTTCTCTCTTTGATCAGTTTCCAACCATTGTTTCTCATCCTTCCCTCTGGTGCTTTGGTGAACAACCTGACCCCGTCTTATTTGTGGCAGCCCCTCAGATACTGGAACACTGCTCTCATGTCTCCCCTATTTTTTCTTTTCTTTAAACTGGCCAGACTCAAGTTCTGCAGCCATTCTTCATACATTTTGATCATCTTAGTTGTTCTTCTCTGAATTTTTTTCCAGAATTCCAACAAGATCTTTCCTCCGTGAATTCTAAATCAACCCAGTTAGTGCCTTCAGATCACAAATTCCTCGATTGAATTGTTTGGTGTCTGTCAAGGATTTCCTTCTGCCTATCCTAAATCTTGTTCCAATCAGTTTCAATCAAGAATCCCCTTTCCTTACAATCGAAAGAGAATAAACTAGTTCCCCCTGTCCACTTTCTCCATGCCTTGCAGACAGGACACTTTTTGTAGCTGATGAACGTATCAGCCAAGTCAGGAAGATTAAACTTTTGTCAACATTTCAAAGACTCAGGTATGTTCTGAATCAAATTTTCCTAGCCTGTTGCCCTCCTGGTGAATCGAAGTCAACACATTACCAATGAACATAGCCACAGTTTAATTTTACCATCTCCTTTTAAGAACATCTCCAGGAAATTCGGCCAAGAGTCTACGGTGGGAAGGTTTGGGTTCTCTTGATAGTAATGGAACATGGATACCGCAATATCCTTTGGATTCCTGACTATATAAATGGCCTATAAAATAGATACAGAATGTTACAATGGACTTCAAGAGCTGGATTCATCCGGAACTCTAGCACCCACATTTATCCAACATCTTTGTTTACTTTATAATGTGGGTTTGATTGGGAACAGGCAGGTTTTTCAACTTACTTGTGTTGATTAATATTAAAGGTTGTAAAAAAAATGATCTAGTACAGTGATGGCGAACCTTTTAGAGACCAAGTGTCCAAAAACTGGCCCCGCCCCTGCTCCACCCCATCCCGCCCCCACCACGCCTACCCGCAGGGCCACTTATCACGTCCAGGGCCCACCACAGATCGCCCAGGCAGCCCAGCAGCGCCATGATGGCCACGCCCTTTGCCCGCGCCCCACAGCATCAACTGTGCGCGATGGGGCGTGAGGGCACAGTCTTGTCTACGCTACCTGGCTGCCGTGTCCTTGGCTGCACTGCTCCACATAGGCCACACTTGGGGGCGACTCTCCTCCAGGGGGGCTGCTGGTGAGGAGGGGGTCGTGGGGGGAGTCGAGGCTGGGGCAATGGCACATGTGCCACAGAGAGGGCTCCGAGTGCCACCCCTGGCACGCATGCCATAGGTTCGCCACCACTGATCTAGTAGAAGGTTGCTGTTTGTTGTTGGCCAGTGCTGCATTAACCCATCCAGTTTATGGCTGAATAAAATGTGTGATTACATTGTGTGAACCCAGGACATTTGGGATCTAGGTTAAACCTCCTGTGTGAGTCAATACACTGCATTCCCAAGAACTTAAGTGAAATGATTATTTTTCTTTTTAACCTTGCAATGCTTGACCCTGAATGCTGGTGGAAGCAGGTTGCTGTCCAAGTGGGTCGGGATGATCCTTTTGCAGGAAAGGCGATTCAGTTGATCCAATTTGGAAAGGTCTCCAAATTCAATCGGAGAAGTCAAAGCCACTTTGGATGCATAGATGTGGGTAAGGATTTCCGCCAGCCAGTGGGTTCCTAACAGGGAAGAGAAGGGAAAGAGGCACTGGAGTGGCAGAGTCTCAAACCAGAGTAGGATAGAGGTTACGTGAAAACAGTCTTAGAAGAAGCAGACCATCTTCTGGCCAAGGAGAAGAAAATAATGCAAAGGATAGACAGATGAATGTTGCAGAGGTAGATACAGAAGCATGAATTCATTGCACCACAGGTAATCCTTGACTTATGACTTGATCACTTAGCGACAGTTCAAAGTTACAACAGACCCCTGAAAAGCTATGTACGACCCAGTTTTGAAGTATTAACATTGCCCCTCCTCCCATCCTGCAGTCACATGACCACTGTAGGAGAAGGAATGACAAAACCTGGGGGCGGAGTTGAAAGAGGGATCAGCCTAGAAGCTCTACGTAGCTACAAGTGAACTAAGTCCAATCCCCCCTTGAATTCTATTGACTCTTATTTAACCCCAAGCAGGTTCTGACATTAGTTGAGAAGATTTTTGTGCATAGGCATGAATAGCAATAAATCAATTTAATTGGACTTTCACGTTTGGACCTGATCTTTTGTGCCTAATATCTGCATTTTGGGTGCTCAGCCACCAACCTGTATTTACAGCCATTTGCAGTGCCTGATGGTTACATGATCACTATTTATAACATTTTTACCAGAACGAGGGTTTACTTCCAGTTCCTGGAATGCTCAAAAGACGCTCCACGTTCTTGGCTGCAAAACCACAAATTAACCTACTTTTTTTCTCTTTTTGCACACTATCCAGTCGTCCCAAAATCACACCAATTGGGTTGGAGTCGCATGACCTTCATTCACAAGCCCTTGAAAACCAACAACCTAACTCATATTAAAAACCAACATAGTTTAGCTTATTGTGAGTGTGAATGCAGTTCTCAAGCCTTTAACATGGGTTCGTTTCATTCATTCATTTGCATTTCTTACGGTGCAGGATGTCTAGCCCCAGCTTTCGACAGCCGATCCTCTTGCATGCAATCTTTTCTAATTCATTTAACTAAATCACAAATTCTCTTTCACCCAAATTCCAAACAAACCTTACCAGATTTTGGGTAGGAAACCAACAGAATATCATCTTCTCTAGCATCAAATGAAACCAAAGAATGTAAAAGTTCCAGTGAGGATCTTGTAGTAAATCTGATGCCGTTGAAAGTATGTATGAGTTCTTCTTCGTTCCACGACATTTGCAATTTAATCAGAGGCTGCCCCTGTGAAGAGACCGTTGAAAAGCTCATTGCAGACCAGATGTTTATAACTGACCAGGGAGCATCAGAAAAGACATATTTATGCACTTTGGACAATCTTTGGAGGATTATCTTTATGGATTACTATACCTGTAAAGCAACATAAAGGTTATCCAGATAAGCCACCCTTGCAAAAACAAACAAACCAAGAAATTTGGTTCACACAATGCCTTGCCTCTGGAGATAAGGAAGCCAGAGAACCCACAAGTGGGGAAAAAAAATCTCCAGACTTGTAATTCAAGCAAAGTGTGCAAGGAACTCATTAACAAAGGGTAACTTTAGAGCAAGGGCTGTGTCAGTTCAGGAGCTGAGTTCCTAATGAACCAGGATAGCACATGAGTGTAAAAACTATCCTGTGTCAGGTTGGAAAATTCCATCACTGGAGAGCTAGTAAACAGACGGGAATAGCACTAGCACTAAGACTTGGATATCTTCCTTCCTTCCTTCCTTCCTTCCTTCCTTCCTTCCTTCCTTCCTTCCTTCCTTCCTTCCTTCCTTCCTTCCTCTTACCAATAACACCTAGACTTATATACCCCTTCACAGTGCTTTTACATCCCTCTCTAAATGGTTTACAAAAGCAGAATACTGTCCCCAACAATCTGGATCCTCATTTTACCAACCTCAGAAGGAAGGAAGGCTGAGTCCACCTGGAGCCGGTCAGGATCGAACTCCTGGAAGTAGGCAGAGTCAGCCTTTGATACCGCATTCTAACCTCTGCACCACCATGGTTCTAATGCTTGGGATCCCTTGTGAATGACACCAGCTTGGTCTCAGAATTTTAGAAACCTTAAAAAAAAAATGCATCACCTCTTAAGAATTTTTTCCCCCTCACTCTAGAACAGTGGTTCTCAACCTGTGGGTCAGGACCCCATTTGGGGTCGAACGACCATTTCACAGAGGTCGCCAAACAACGCAGTCCGCCATTTTTTTCCCCTTTTCCTTAGCTGTGCTACTCCCTTTTATTCTATTGGCTTTTGAAAGCCAATAGAATAGACTCTCTTGAATAGAGTCTAATTCTATTGGCTTTCAAAAGCCAATAGGAATTGTCCAGCTGTCTCTGCCCTGCTGAGCCCACCAAAAGTCCCATTCTGCAAACGGTGCTGCACCAGTTGAGTAGTCCTCGACTTACGACCGGTTGAGTAGTCCTCGACTTACGACCGGTTGGGGGGTCACGGCATTAAAAAGGTTGAGAACCGCTGCTCTAGAAATTTGAGTAGTAGCTAAACACCACAAGACCACTTTTTCTCCTGTTCTTCTTCCAGGAAGTTTCAAGGGGGTAGTTCCCTGGGAGAGACACATTTCACCTTCTTAAGGGCTGCTGAGGGCTGGTTGGTGATGGTATGGGGTCTCCAGACTGGGGGGGGTATGCCTGGGCCCATTTGGGGGAATGACCAATGCAAACTCGACCTGTTACATGGTGTGGACTATCTCACAATGCAAATTCAAAGGGCGGAGCTTGCATGATGATGTTGTCATGGTTCCAAAAGATGAAACGCTTCAAAAGAACTTTGAAGCATTGTTTACCTAAAGAATCTTTTATTCGAGTAGCATAATATCGGCACTTACATAATCGAAGCCAAAAACTGAATTCCCCTCCCCTGGGCACATAGTATCAAAGCATAATTCCCTCATCCAATTAACAGTCACAAATCACATTTCCCAATTAGCTTGACGCGTGGGCTTTCTCTCCAGTTCTCCAGCCTGCCAATTCTTTATCAGCTCTGGGCTCAATAACCTTGATTCTCACACTAAGTTTAGTGTTGTTATGTCTAGTTAGACTCTCATTCACATCCCCCCTTCTCCCAGCATCATCTAACTCTAAAAGTGAAAGGGGAAAAGATGGCTACATTTTCATCTGTTGTCAACATCCGATGTTAGCAGCGTTGACAGATGTCATCATGCATATTTTATCAGGGTGGCATCATTGTGGGAAAAGACAGGCACCCTTTAACATAGATGAATGACACCTGTTTTGCCCCCAAAACTCTCCAGAATAAGATATCCCCTACACAACTACAGGGATGTAGGCCTAGCCATTCCCAAGTGCTCTGGGGATCCCCGAAGAGGTAAGTATTTGCAGAAGAGTGAAAAACGTGGAGTCAAGAATGCCAGCCACAGATACACAAACAATGATTTTGTTCCTGTAAACTTATACTAAAGTGTATTGGCATTTATAGCTCAGATATCCTGATCTGGCCTATCTTGAAGAGGAAGATCAATCTTGCAAGTCTGAATGCACTGCCCCCATCCCTCTAACTTCATGAGTAGGGGGTCTCCAAACTTGGCAACTTTAAGAGATGTGGACTTCAACTTCCAGAATTCCACAACCAGCCATGAGGAATTCTGGGATTTGAACTCTACTAGTCTTAAAGTCAGTCCTAGAAGAGATCAACCCTGACTGCTCTTTAGAAGGCCAGATCCTGAAGTTGAAACTCAAATACTTTGGCCACCTAATGAGAAGGAAGGACTCACTGGAGAAGGGCCTAATGCTGGGAAAGATTGAGGGCAATAGAAGGAGGGGACGACAGAGAATGAGATGGCTGGATGGAGTCACTGAAGCAGTAGGTGTGAACTTAAATGGACTCCAGAAGATGGTAGAGGACAGGAAGACCTGGAGGAACGTTGTCCATGGGGTCACGATGGGTCGGACACGACTTCGCAATTAACAACAACAACAACAACAAAATCTTAAAGTTGCCAAGTTTGGCGAGCCCTGCTCATGCAGATAGAGAGAGGATGGCAGTCAATGGCACAAACTTTAAGACTGGTGGACTTCAACTCCCAGAATTCCTCAGCCAGACATGAGGAATTCTGGGAGTTGAAGTTCACAAGTCTTAAAATTGCCAGGTTTGGCGAGCCCTGTTCATGAGGATCAGGGAGATTCATGCTTGAGATACTTTCTCAAATTACATGTCTTCCAGGGATTCAGATTCCTTTTACCTGACTACTGCCTTAGTACAGCTCTTCCTCCTGTTCCCCAAGGTTATTCATGCTGCTCATTACTTAAACCTATCCTCTTTCAAAGCCTTAACTAGGTATCTGTCACCTATTTTATTTGAGAATATTCAGAAATCTGTCTATGAATATAAATAAGCAATAAATAAGAATACATTCCCAGGACTCTTGTTCCTTTTTTACCTGCCACTAGTGTTAAAATCTCATGCCCATAAAGATGTTACCTGCCATGGATATACAGGCAATCCCCGTTATTTGTGGGCTTGCAAATATTTGCAAATTCACTTATTTGCAAAAAAAAAATGCTTTTATAACCCCAAAATGAGTACTTGTGGCACTGTCACATTTATTTGTGGATGTGTGAACTTCCTTCCTTCCTTCTCTTTCTTTCTTTTTCTTTCTTTCTTCCTTTCTCCCTTCCTCCCTCCCTTCATTCCTTCCTTCTCCTCCTCCTTTCCTTCTTTCCTCCTTCTCTTCCTCCTTCCCTTCCTTCCTTCTCTTCCTTCCTCCCTTCCTCCCTCCCTCCCTCCCTTCCTTCCCCTCCTCCTTCCATTCCTTCCTTCGTTCCTTCCATCCATCCATCCTTTCTTTTCTTTTTTCCCCCTTCTTTTACTTTAACTCAGTATTTCATAGGTCATACTGACTAATTTTGTTCCAAGGGTGAAGGTACATTTATAAACAAATAAAAGATCACACAACAGGAACCAGTAGGGAATATCTGAAAAATCGTTGAGTGATTTATGGCTCAAAGAACAGAGGAAAGTTAATATATAAGGACAGAGTGGAGATTTCACCATTGCCAAGATGTGACTCATCCATGGTAATAAGGCTACAGAGGACAAAAATGGGTACAGATCCATAGAACCTACATCTGTATAGAATATACTAATGGCTGTGCAAAACTACACATTCAGGAATAATTCCTATATTTCAGTAATCCAAATTCAGCTTCCTTAAAAGAGGATAACTGGAAATCAATGACACCTAATCAAGAATAACTTGGGTTCAGTGGATTTATTTTGATTCCTGGTGAATATGTCCATATAGTTCTCTTCGGTGTGGTATCAAAATGGTTTCCTAGTGGAAATTCCCATTGTAAAATTAACAGGATCTGTCCTTTTGGGCTTCTGAGATCAGTCAGCAGTGTGTATCCAATGGTTGAGATGAGCTTACTTTAAGTTGGATTAAATCTCATTTCATTCTGAGTATCTAAAATATCCATCATTGTAACAGAGCAGATTTTAACTAAAACAGCTTGGTATTTTATTGGTTGGTGTCTTTAGCCTCCCTTGTTATAGTTTTTCTTTAAACTGGATTTGAGTACAACGAAGACACCATGCTTTTTATTGAGACTTTCCTTAAATATTGGGAACTCTTGGAACTGACTTGAGATAGATCCTCAGTGACAAAATGTCTCAGTGACAGTTGAAACCAAGATAACGTGAATACAGGTAGCCCTTGACTTCTAAGTGTTCATTTAATGATCACCTGGCTTCCCCATTGACTTTATTTGTCAGAAGGTTGCAAAAGATGATTATATGACCCCCCCCAGGACACTGCAACCATCATAAATATGAGTCAGCCGCCAAACATCTGAATTTTGAGCTGAGGTGGCGCAGCAGTTAGAGTGCAGTACTGCAGGCCACTTTAGCTGACTGTGTTCAGCAGGTCAGCAGTTCAAATCTCACCGGCTCAAGGTTGACTCACCCCTCCATCCTTCTGAGGTAGGTAAAATGAGGACCCAGATTGTTGGGGGCAATGTAAATATATATATATACATTGCTTATTGGTGTACACTGCTTAGAGAGTGCTTGCACTTAAAGCGGTATATAAGTCTCATAAATAAATAAATAAATAAATAAATAAATAAATAAATAAATAAAATTTTGACCATAACGGTCCTAAGCGTGAAACAATTTCAGTGCCATTGTAACTTCAAACAGTCACTAAACAAATTGTTGTAAGTCAAGGACATCTTGTAGGGTAAATAGTTTCATATTTGCTCATTGAGAATGTAATTGCGATGTGCTTTTTAACGTTTTTGCCATACGCTAAATAAATAAATAAGCCACAGCAGTTTCCTTTCACAGATTGAGGGGAGCTGAACTCCTCAAACAAATCTTTCATTTTGTCCACTTAATGACTTGGGAGATTACTTAATGATCCCAGTTGGGATGGCTGGGATTGCGGTTGTTGAGTGGAAGCAGTCACATAGGCATCTCTCTTAACAAATGCTTCACTCAGTGACTGAGATCCCAGTCCCAATT